AGGAAACTGTGAGTCTCATCCGGTATAAGTATTGATTTAGTAGACGTTCACGCAGAGATTGCTCTTTCCCAGCACAGCTAAATTTACTCCGACAGATGATAAGAAGTTTTTCTAAGTTATGTAAATTTTTTAATACGTTGTTAATAATTAAGTAAATTAGCAGCATTAAACATGTTTATAAATATATACATCAAAGTTTTTTAATTTTTTAAATTTAACTAAACCGACTGTTAGAAATTACATTGCATGTCAAAAAATGACATATTCTATGTACGAATATAAACAAAATCACTTAGATAAGAAATATTATTCTTGTCTAAATGAGAGACCTAATTCGAATCCAATTCAAGCAACTCAAGCCAGGATATAATTAAGATTTTCGTATCGTAGATACGGAAAATTGCGAAGTCGCTATGTCGATAGAGGGAATTCCAGAGTTGATGCGTTTCTATAACAACAGACAAAGAGTCCGCCAATAAACAGGATCCGCCCCGAAAAGCCGGGTCGCTTCTGTAAAAGAGGCTAGAAACGCGCGAAACGGTAACTCGAACGCGATTTCGGGAGTAAAATTTCCACACGACTAAATCCTTCTACGTGAAGGAGAGTGACGATGGCTACGAGGATGACGGAACAGTGCCGGATGTGCAATCGAGGGTTGCAGTTTTACAATATACCCTCCGAAGCATCCGACGGGATGGACAGCTACACTTTCGTGAAGAGCCCGAGGGCGATATTGCATATACAGAAGAAATACAGACACCCTTCTATGTAAGTACAATCTATTTATGATGTATATTGTTAGATGAAAATGATGAAAATGATATTGCTGGCGGCATAATTTTATTCGTGAGACACCTTCCCTGATAATAACCTGGCAAGCATCGACAAATTTAGTTTTTCATCGTAAATGAAACATTTCATCAATATAAATATGACTGATGAGAGAAGATAAAAATGCACTAACAAAGAACTCACTGTACAAATATTCAAGTTATCTCAAAATAACTGTAACTTAAGATAATTTATTCAAGTTAAGACTGCGGTCCGATTCACACTTACAACGTTGTGAGCGTCATTCTATCTTTATTGTTCACTACATGCTAAAGAAAGCTAGAATTACGCTTACGGTGTAAGCGTGAATCGAACCGCAACGTAAGATTATTTAAGCTACAACAACTTAAAAAAGCCTCAGGTCGACATTCACTAATTCAGTGGCTAATAAACCATCAGTCTTCTGATGACAAAGATACGAAAATCGCCATTGCACGGAACAATGAAATTGCGAGTATGTGTGATTGATAAACGCACTTTCTTCACACATGCACACATTTCAACGTTATTGTCGACGCAACAAGTGTACGATATCCTTGTAAACCTGCACGCTCTGTTTAACGATCTTGCACAAATACACGCCCTAATTACATCTTGAATTAATGATCGCAAATATTGCATACGTACACGATACAAATAGCACGAATTGTGTGCGTCTCTTTACACAAAGCACATGCATACTTAAACACCGTGCTCGCAAGAAAGTGTGAACTTTCAACTTTATGAGGATATATATGGACGTTAAAATTAAAACTATCCCTCGCGCACTATTTGTTACATATGCCGGTTCTCCCAATGAACGACAAGCTTCAACGGCACGTTCGTTTATTCGGTAGAAATTATGAATACTGAGCTATAACATTGAGAAAAAATATCAATAACTAGGAAGGCGCGCGACGCATCAATAATGCAACGGCTGCTTATTGTCGGTCTATAGATTACGTTGCTTATAGACGACAAAAGGGAATGACCGCAGCGGTTGATTTTATCGCCGGCTGTTGTACACGAAAGAGTACAGAGTGTGATACTATGCATTCGGTTCACGTGATTTCCGTTTGAGGGGGAGTACTCGCAATACCGAAGTACCATATAATATTGTCGGTTAGAACAGCCCTTCCGCGAGAACACGAAACTCGAACGCTCTGAACAATCTTCCCGTTAACAAATTCTATGGAAATAACGGTATGCAGAAGATGAAACGCCATGCCAGCCGAAAACTTATCGCTTATGAGAGCGACAATTTTAACAAGGGTTGATTTTAACACAGGTAGAAAATGTTGTTTTTATATTTGCACGGAGAAAATGAAATGTTCCATTACAACTCAACATAACAACAAGTTAAGGGGAATCACCGATACAAAAGTAGCAAATGTCATGAGAAGCAGACACAGAGGCGCCCTACATGCACGCTGTTCATCGTTCTACAAAGTCGACACACACACACAGCGCAACCTTGTTAAAGAAAGTTCCTGATTGTTCGCCCCCTATTTTTAGCATTAAATCCCCTTCTCGCGTGCCTCATAATAAAATAATCTATGAGCGTTATTGATTAGAATAAAGCGACGCACGTTTCGCGTTATATTCGAGCGGGTCTGATCGATCGCGTATTAATATTAACAACCGTCCACACATAGCTGCTTCTTAAATGAAAACGTCAATTCCTTATAAAACAATTAAGAGATCGATCACGATGAATCCGCGCGTCACCCGGGGGAATCGTGACGCCGTACAAAGCCACCCTCGATTTCACTCGGCGAGCGAGGGAGAAGTGAAATAAAAAAACAAGCCAACCTACAAATTCGTGCGTATAGGTGTCCCATTTATTTTATCGTTCCACCGACAGCGAGGTTTCGCGTCTTGCTTGCGTATACATAATCATACGCGACGCGTTCGACGCAGAACACATGAAACTGGGCGAAAATTCCCTCAAGGATATTCGCGACATATTAATATTAATGCTACTAAATCCAGCCGCGACGAAAACCCGTATCTTTCATCCAACCATGTGTGTTTGTGATCGACTCGAGAGATTCCACGTGTGACTGCATTGAAATAAAAACGAATTAATGAAGCCTCCCATTAATCTGACGCGCGATCAGTCAGCGGGAAGCAAATCTTTCCTTCCGTCGGAGTTTTCTGAAAAGCGAGCGAGCGATCGATTGCGAAGAAGCCGATGGCGAGATAACGCACGTACCACGAGCTACTATTGGCGATAGTAACCGTGGCACTCGGTGGGCACTATTTACGACACTGTTCGCGCATAGATCGCCAATCACGCAATTACGATCATGCAAGGACAAAAAGAAACTATTCCCTCGCCGCCTACGAATCCGCCGACAAATTCGCGCTCGTTACACTCGCCGCTTATCATTTTCTCGATCTCGATCGGTCGGCTCGCTTCGAATCAATACTTTCGCGGAATATGTAATATCGAGAGATAATAATAGTCGACTAATAATAATATCACCTGGAAATCAGGTTATCACGAAAACGGAATCGGGTTTATTGAATTTTGTTGACATCGTAGTTGCTCATGCATGCGTGTCGCTCGTGCGTAAACGCGGCAATCTGCGGAATCTTTTTCCAGAATACACCACTCGATCATTTACGTTAGCTGAGAACCGAGCTTATAGGTGGATTAATAAACGTTATGTACGTAAACGTCGCGCGTGATATTTTTCCGAGGAACACGAAACTGTCACCACGATACGTACGATCACCGCGAAAGTACGTTGAAGTCACGCTTTTGTCGAAAGACTGGGAGTAAGTTTATGTACAATAATACGTGACATTAGAATTGTAAATTATAACTCTGAGTCGTGACGCGGTTTGCAAGCCAGTATTATTACGCGGGAAACAAGCAACACCCAAACTGTTTCTCGTACACGAAAAAATATGCTGTTGTGTATCAATAGAATTAGTCAACGGCGCTATAATTGGAGTAAACCTTCTTGATTCAAAAGCAATATTATCGGAACTGACTTGAATTATTGAAATATATGGTGTATTAGTTTTAATGATCGTTAATAGAATTAAGGAGATTTATTCTAATTATGGCGTTGCTGACCAATTCAATCGATACACTGAGAAAAAAGGGGTAAAACCAACGAAATTTTGGTTAAACGAATAGAATTTGTTCGAGCAGAATGTTCAGTTCATTGAAAAACTTATACAGTTACTATAATCAGTTATCAATGTGATTCAACGGTTGCGATTTGGCCAGCATTAACGCCACGTAGTGTTGCGCCAACGCATAATTTGTTTAGTCAATACAATATTTGTTTGAACGAGAGTGAGGGAACCACTTTTTTTCTCACTGTGCAAAAGTATCTTTTCCTACGTACAACCGCACTTCGAAATCAAATTTCCATGCGTGTTACTTGCACAAATCGTGCGGTAACAAAACGCCTTACTCACCTCATAATTCATGGCGCGCTGTTGATCAATTCTACCTGTACAACGGCATTCTTTCCCGTATATAACCGCAATTCGAAATCGAATTTCCATGCCGGCTATTTGCATAAGTCGGTACGGCAACAAAATGCCTTACTCATCTCATAATTCATTTCCCACCTACGTTCTATCGCGTGTGCATACTTGCATTAATAAACAACTACCTGCATACATTTCTGCCGCCGCTACCAGACCAAAGCGGCCGCCTATATCCCCGAGAGGGTGGATACCAAAGGAACGTCAACAACACGACGTTTGCTCGAGCAATTTTAACCTTTTGAGAACGCGCGTTTGCTTTAATTAATTAAAAGGAAACAACGAGGGAGCGAGGAAGACAAAGAAAGCAAAAAAAAAAACAACCAAAAAAACAACTAAAAATGTCTCGTGCGCGAGGTTCGATTCGCGCGGGTCGTTATCGAAAGCCGTGAATCAAACCGTGCGAGCGTCAAGCCGAGCTTCCGCGGCGATCCAGCGCGGTCAAATGTGAAGTTTCACCTTGAAGTGTTGCTAGGGTTGGAAGTTCCCCGGACAGGTTGTTCCCTAGGCGGGTGGCAGAGCCCCGACTATATTCACCCTCAGCCGGCGGACTTAGGCATGCGCAACATTCGCGGTGGTCAGCGTTATTGAGTGGCCGGGCGAAAATATATGTGCAACATGACTGCGTTCTATATCGGTCGATTCTAAGGACATTGTCCAGTCTCTGAACTCCCCCGCGAGCCGGTCAGTAATGCCGCGGCGACACACAGCGACGTACGATCACGACGTTTTCCATCCACGAGCTTCCGCGGCCAGCGGAACCGCCGGTTTGGCGCCAATTTCGTACAGTACGTATTTAACGTATTAAGGCGATTCGCGAGAGTGACGCCGAGACGCGAGAGTCGACACATCGGGGAGCTTCGATTACCGATAATGTTGACGCGCGAACGAATGTTTAGTGCTTGTTCCGCCGCGTGTATTCGCGACTCGCGATCAGTTTGAGCGCGACGATCCGCTTGAGATGCATTTTACACATTGGTAGCTATCGAACGATCGAAATTGTTCGAAATAAAAGCCGGTTTCCACGTGGAATAATATTCAGACGGTGGCGTTGTGTTGTAAATGCGCGTCTTCGTATTTCACCGTATTATTAATTCAATAGTCAATTTAACCTTTCTTTTAGAGATTCTTTCTATTGAGTTGATGCAAAATTTCTCTCTCTCTCTCTCTCTCTCTCTTTCTCTTTCTTCCTTTCTCTCGTTCCGTTTTCTAGTCAATTCTTCGTTCAGAAATCCCAGAATTTCTATGAGCACAGGATCATTCAAATACCGAAGAAATAGTAGGTCATCGAACAAAACGGCGCATGATTGGTCGTATTTTTGAGAATAAATAAATGTTTTATGTACATCTTGACTAAAAACGGAACGAACTTTAGCATCAATCCAATATTTGGCTATGTACTGCTTTTATCGAGGCACATCTAATCTGAACGTTAAGTATCAGGAAGTTGTTGTTCACATTCAGCAATTGAGCGAACTTCCTCGCAATTTGGTCTCGTGACTCCGCCGGTGAATAATTAAACAAATAATTACGAGCGCCACGCTGCGACTTTCCGTTGCTGATCGGTTGTTTTCACTATACGTGAACGATCGATCAACGATGAGTAAGGCTGTAATTGTTTTTCCTGTGATTGGCAAAATTATCCATTCCAGTTAAACACATATTGATCCATAAAAGAGACTAAACTGATAAAAAGTAAAGTAAACTCGAATAAAGAGGAAATGAATAAGTAAAAGAATGAGAAATAAGAGAGGTTGCAATTTTCAAGGGTTGCTGCGCTCAAAAGGTTAAACACGTCGCGCAATCCCGATCGTCTGCGATCGATCCGTCATGTCCGCCGTAAAACCGAGCGCCTGAAAAAATCGGAAAGATGCCGGCCGGCATTTCCGCCTTGGCGCCCTCGACGGACGCGGGATCGTTCGAGCATGAGGCGAAGAATCCTCCAGCCTTCACGATCCTGCAGAAGGATGGACTGGACTCGAGCCTGCCGCTCCTCCACGTCAACGAGGAGGACGAGATGAACGCGTCGCGGCTCACCAATCTCGAGAACATGAAGAACGATCTGTACAGCCGCAGACGCATCAGTAAGTCGAACGATCACCTGGTCCTCGCCAGTCTGCAAGCGCACCAAACGAATCCGCTGCGGAAGAAGCACCAGAGCAAGAGCCAAGACAGCTTGACCGCCGAGGAGAAGCCGGCCATGACCAAAACCAGTATCGTCCTGTCGACAGAGGACTTCAACGAGGTGCTCAATGCCAAACTGAAGAAAATCCAAGAGCAGGCCGAGGCCGAGCAGAGTCGCAGGTCGCCGAAGAAATCGATCTTGCCGCAGAAGAAGCCGTTCATCACGACCGTAAAGACCGGTGAATTCCTAATGCCGCCGCCGGAAGTAGCGGCCCTGCTCGGCATTGCGCCCAACGGAAACGACGAGGAGGCGACGACGACTACGACGGCGGATGGATGCTCGCTGAAGAGCAAGTTCAAGTCGCTGGTGTCGCTGGCCAAGAGGCCGGAAGTACGTCACAGCAGCCACAACGCGAGATGTCCGGCCGCCCTCAAGGCCACCGTGGACTTCTCCCTCGGCATGATGAACGCCACCACCATCGCCGCTTCGACCTTGGACGAGCGGGCGAGGAGGTTCAAGAGAAGCGAGTCGGCGTAAGTGACGCTACGTGACGTAGCACGATCGCGTTATAGACGGTTGTCCCGTTGTTCAATCGGCATATCGTGCTTGCTTTTTATAGTCAGGGGCGGATCTACTGGCTGACCAATGCCTGGATATATGTCTCTCCATCGACATATAGTAGAGGAGAATGTGGTATTATAGCTCTCGTAGGTATAATGCGACCCCTCTTGATACCTCCGCTATTACGTGGCGAATTCTAGTGATTATTCATGGAATCATTTGTTTAATGATCCGTTATCAAGCAGTGGCGCTAATATGCCAATATGCAGTAGCCGGTATATTTGTTATAACGCATTTTTACTTCGAAACGTTTCAAGGTACATTTTAGTATTTAATTACTTACGCGTACTTCCCCACTCTCTCCTTTAACTTGGGTGTGTTATCACACGAATATATCTACAGGGTGTTGCATCAACATACAGTTCATCACGACGGGTTGCACGCTGAAGGGGCATGCATGAGATAGCGCGCCGCGCGAACTCGGATCGGTCGCGCACACTCTTACTCTCTCACGCGCGCCTCTAGGTAACATATGTTGATGCAACACCCTGTATATTGGAGTGTTTTGTTCGTTATTTAAAATTGTCGATGTAAATTACTGCGCTGTACACATTTCGAGTTATGCAAAGTTAAAACGTTGCATATTTTACGCTAATGTGGCACCCTTTCACTAAATATTATAGATTTAATTCTCGGCCTCATTTTCATATCGAAGTAGTTATTCGAAGAGTTCATAATTCAAGTCGAGTTTAAGAGTCTGTACATTTTGTAAAAACTGTCTTTCTGGCAGTTTGTATCTACCTTCTTATAACTAAGTCGGTATAAAATGTAAATAGGGGGTCATAATGCCACCTTCTTCTCTACTGGACGGAGCATGCGGCAAAATTTCTTTAATCATTCATGTTGACGGACATAGAATAGGTTGGTTTTTATCTAACGAGAAGGGGAACAGTACCGCATTCTTACAAATTTGAAATATCCTTAAAGTATCGCAATCTATATGTATATAATACTATAAGTATGTTACGCTATATGTAAACGTCACGTAAAATTGAAATTATTAATTAATTATCAATTATTATATATATAATAAATAATTAATAAAATAAATAATTACTAAATAATAAATAATAAAAGAAATAATTACTAAATATGGTTTCTATTTGTTTATTATACAAAAGAAGTGTGTTAAATGTATCGCGATTCATGCATAAGTAAAATTTTTAATTGCCTCATGGTCCCGGTCTACCATGAGTCGTTACCATATACATATCTTGTCTCTTTCTACGTCTGTCAACACAATCTCGATTCCATGCTCTGTCCACTGCTATATCGATGTGTCCTTTTCGCGTAAGGGACGCGATGACGCTAACGAGCGACGCGATAGCTAATCAACCATCTTGTTACGTGTATATTGTTCCCAGAAGAAAAGAACGTTGATTCGCTATCTGCACGGAGAAAAAAGGTTTAGTTAGATTAACGAGATAATAAATGAACAAAGTGTCTCGATAGAAGGAAACGGAATTTCTGGTTTTCCTGAGCCAAATTCAGTTCTAATAACCAACAATTCTGTTTGCTTCAAACAGAACACGTCCCGTTCGATCATCGTCATGTTAATTCAACCAATCTTTTTTCGCTGTGCGTGTATGTCGTCTCTTGCTGAGCACGACACGCATTCTTATCGGCTGGTGATCACTCCCCGAGAGTGATATCTTTGATTTCTTACGTCCCAATCTTGCTAATTGTTAATTGAAACTTATTGAGCCTAATAATTGCACACGTGTGACATATCGATTCTCACGAGGGGTCGACGTCACGTGATGCGTGACAGCAATAAATTATCACTATTCATGTATACAAATTAAGCCGGTTTTACATGGAAAAACAATTCCGTTGGTATGACTGAATTTTCCGTTGCTTGGGGACCAGAGAAAAATTAGGTCGTAGAAACAGAAAGATTCTTATAGAAGATTTCTGCTCAGTCAATTGCTCCCATACCTGTTTCTATCATTATGGCTTAAATCCAATCAACGATCAACTCAACGGAATTGACCAATCATATTGATCAACTAATCATATAGTTCAACTAATTGACAATGTGATTGGTTAATTATGTTGAATTAATCATCGATTAGATTTAAACCATGATAGTAGCAACGGGCATCGGTTGTCTCAACTGCGTTTTAACGCAGCTGAATTTTCAAAATGTGCTCAATCGCGATAACAAAGGCATCATTTCTCGTCACCTAGTTTTCCTTTCTTGTCACCGACTTTCCATCTGGCCCCTATTCAGTTGCACGTACTGGAATTTTTTTTCCATATACAGAGTGGTGCATCAACATTCAGGTTAGTGCAATAGGTTGCTTATGCGCTTCGTCAGCACGCGCGCTCGAACATGGACACAGCAAGGCGATATACATGCTTGCAAGGTAATTTGCATCTATTTTTCGCATTTTTATTGGAAAAAAATGAATGTAAACTGTTTCACAAATATGGTTTTAAAGGCTTGAAAAAAATCGGTTTTCTCAATTTTATCAAGGTTTTTTTCGGCTTCTCTCCGCGAAAGAGTATGAAAAGATTTTTTTTTCATTTTTTCCACGAATATTTTCGATTTCTTTCCGTGGAGAAATTGGAAAAAGTGGCTTTTCAAAAACTATATTTACAAATTAACCGTGTCAATATGACGTGTCTACTGAGTTCGTGTGCAAGAGCGTGCGCCTGCCCGTAAAATGAATAAGCAACTCGTCGCATTGACCTGCAAGGTGGCGCAACATAAATACGAAAAGTACAGGATAGTGTGTATGATGGGCGGTTTTCCCGGATGAACGGTGGTAGCGATCACGCTGATACTCAGTGTCCAAGAAAAGAAAAGAAAAAATCCGCCCCTGTGCCCACTGAATTTCTCTCTTTGTCTCGCGGAGCGACGATGCAACTTCGGACCTTTTCGCGAATGCGCCTTCGGGAATTCAAACTAAGCTGCGTAGAATCGTGTCGCTAGAACACGATCGATCGGTCGGTCGGTCGAACTTTCCGTAAGAAACGCGCGGGGAGATCTCCCGACTCGGTATACTCGGTGTTTGAAAGTGCGAAAAGCGTCCGCGAGTCCGTGGATGCGTCTGAGATTAAATCGCGCGAATCAAGACGGCGGGAAGAGGCACTCGAGGGTAGAACAAGGGCGTATAAGAAGAGCGGGAATTGTTTTTCTAGCAGATTCCCGCAGGAGCCGCGAGCTTTACCGAAAAAGTTGGAACCGATCGAGGGCATGATGAACGCGCTGCCGAGACTCCGCGGGTAACGAAAACATCTTACAAGTGGCATCACACTGGTCTTTAGTTGATAGCAGCTGTCTCCTCCGCTTTTCTCTCTCTCCTCTTCTTACTACTTTTTTTTTTCTCCTTCTCTTCTCGTCGGCCCGATTTATTCTCGCGCGCGTGCGCTCGCAGTCGAGTCCCTCTGCGGTAGGCCGTCGTCGCTCCTGGTGCACCGTGTTCTCGAATGCTCACAGAACGAAATTGGCCGATCCGGTTATTCTCGTACGGTAATATCAACTCTCTCTTACATCAAGGTTTATCTTTTTACCAATAACCGTTATGCTGCTATATATAATTCAATAAAGAAAACAGGTATGTGTGTTTCGGATGAAAACTGGTGATCTTTCTCTGCGGTGATTCCATTATGTTACTTTGATGATAAGAGAGGACCGTTGGTTTCAGAAACGTCGAAACCTACTTGGACGCTTATGTAGGGGAAATGGAACGTATTATCCGCAGAGAAAAGCCGTTAAGTTTTTATTAAAATAATAATGTGCCCAACGATGCTATTTCGATCGTTATCGAAAAAAATTTCCGTGCAGCAAACTCATACACCCCCGCCGTAGTGTTTCATTTCTGTGTGACTGAAACACACGTCTCATTGGTACAAACGACAGATGTATCTGTCTTAAATATAAAAATTTTGATGGGAATATTAACAATTATTATTTTTTAATTATTTTACTTTATAGGGAGAAAGAGGAGGAGTAATGAACAAACTATTCGTTGTGCATAGCTGTTGATAGCTGTTGTTGATAGCTGTCGATGAAATAGTGGTTGAATTTCCAACGTAATTATATTTCAACTTTCTGGAGTAGAAAATTGGCAGAATAAATAGTACAGACTTTTCCGCTATCTGGATGAGAAATTAAAATAAACTGTGAAATGAATTCCACTAATCGAGAATGTCTCGGGAGGATTTGATTGATATAATTTAAATGAACGGGATTAATTAAAACTTAAGTGTATTAAAGATACGTATGAGAACTTGGTTCACGTACATATATGAATACAAAGGGAAGAAATTCATTTTGTTGCAAAATTTATCGATGCTTGCCCAAGAGCGACGGGTCTCGCAACAATCATTCAGCATGTTGATTCCGCTGAGATTTTCTCGGCGTTATTACCGTTAACTCATCAAACTTCCTCATCAAGCAGTGTCGTCGTTATTTTATCGTTTAGTTAACCGTTATTTTACAGCGATCAACCGGTTCCGTTCAGGAACATCATGTTTGATCACCGCGTGGCTCGTGGGACTACATGTGCTTCCGTACCTGCTCTCGTAAGTATACATCATACGCTACTTCCTAAAAATAGAATGAGATCCGTGGCCGCGACTTTCTCACAATAATCGTATCCGTACAGATCGATGGTGAACAATCGATCGCAGCGAGGCAAGCGGAAGCGAGGCGAAGACATTTGGCGCGAAAGCGTGCTCAAGCGCAAGCTACGAAAGCGCTCATCATGAGAATCGGCTCTCCGCCGCCGGTTCCTGGCAGGAAACACGAACCAGTACAGACGGAGGTCTTTCTTGAGGAGGTTAATTAAAATTACTCAATCTTAAATTAGCTGATCCTTATCTCTATGTCATATATATACATGTCTTTTTACGACTGTTTATATCTTTATTTTTATACTAATACTTAATTGTTGTTTTTACAGAATTTATCCTAGAGCATAATAAAAGATAGTTTTCTATTCTATTATATTTATCATTTACAAAAGAATCCTCAAGATATTGTCTAAATTCTCACAACTGCAAGTGAATTCTCAATTTTCCTAATCAACTCCTTACGAATTGACCATACGTTAAATCTTATCGGAGAGACCTGTCATTAAATTTTGTCGTTAAATTTTAATCTCGATACGTCATGTATTCAAGCTGGCCGAGAAGCCGGACGAATCCGAGATAGCCACGCAAACCGATTACTACGAGAAACCGGTGACACCGAGATATTGCCCGCCTAAGACTGGCCAAGACGCTTACACGCAGATTGAACCCGGGGAGGTGTGTGCATCGAGCACTTTATTAGAATATTGGTACCACAATGAAGTGAATGTTTTCCATCGCGATGTTTGCAGCTATTCGACTACGACATCGAGGTTCAGCCGATTCTCGAGGTATTAGTCGGCAAAACCATCGAGCAAGCCCTGATCGAGGTGTTGGAAGAAGAAGAAATCGCCGCTCTCAAGGAACAGCAAAGAAGATTCCTCGAACTACGCGATGCCGAGAAAGCTGAAGAGCAACGATTAGCGGAACAGGACAGGAGACTCAGAGAAGAAAAAGTATCGATATTTTTCATGTTGACCTTTCATTATTCATACCTTCTTATATTTTAGCTCCTTTCCTATACCAGCGTCACACAAATGTGACACATTACATAAATTACTCACGATACATAAATTACATTAACAAAGTTACTTTTCTCCTGTGTGTACCTGTGTCGTTCCGGAAAGGCTAAACAACAAATTCGTCTCCAAACCGTAGGATCGACGCCTGAAACAACAGGAGAAAGCGATGAAAACTCAGCAGGAAACTGAGGAGCGCGTCGCAGCGGCGGTATTGTTAACGGGATACATCGCCGAACTCTTACCCGCGGTTCTCGAAGGCCTGAAGATATCTGGCTTCCTATTGGACGACATCAAAGCCGGTTTGCGATCTCATAAAAAAAAATTAACTGCCTTTGCTGTTAATCATAGAGATTCCTTAACACGTTCGTTAATAGCACATAATCTATATGTTCTATAAACATTCCAGGAATATTCGAATATCTCTGGAACATTCCTAGAATGTCTTGTGAACATTTGTGCTGTGAGATATGCGACGCAACGATCCCTTATAAGAGACCGTCACGCGTGTGAAACTTTGTTTTCTTATATCCACATTAATCGAAAACTAAGTCTGTTTTACACAATTACATAAAAAATAATATACGAAGGAATTTGTGAAAAGAATCCTCTAAATGAACAGATAGCGAATGTATTAATTTCCCTTTACTCCTCGATTCTGTCGCGACTGAGTTTCTACATTCTCCTAATTACAACTTAGTATTCCTTCGGTCGATATCGCGCTAACACTAACACGGATATAACGTGTTTCAGATGTCGAGGGAGGTTTCATGCCGTGGTTAATGAAAGAAGTGAAAAAGGAGATGGGTAACATGATCGAAAGTCGAGAATTGTTAATGGGTGAGTAGGGGCAAGTGAGACAAGCGAAGAAACGCCCATGTTGTTCATATTGACAGACATCATGGGACTTGATCGACATGTTACAGAGATTATCAGGGAGATCTTGGAGAATCGCGCACAAACCTATCGGCAACTCGGTGAGGAATACGACGCCTCGAGAGACAAGAGACTAGTGACCGAGGAAAACGTGGAGGAGGGTGGAGTTGACAGCAACTTCGTGAATTATCAGTCACCACCGGCGAGTGGAAATCATGACGCGGTTTAGCGAGGTAAATTAACAGGGCGATCTGATTAATGTGACAAATTGGCAATTAATAAGACGTTCCACAACATACACTTGCAATATAGAAAGAACAGAAAATTTGTTTAACACTTATATTTGCAAGGATTAAAATAGAGGGAGATATAGCGAGATCGATGATTCAGCTTTCGCTATCGTTGACGTTATCGCGCGATTCCATTGGCGTTAATCGCGCCTCGATTGAAAAACGAGCGCGTCATAGTTAGTTTTGGATTTAGAGATTCACCTTCGACCAGCACAGGACCAATCTCCGAGCCCAGTGCCTTTTACATTAAGCAGTGTACACAGCTGCGCGACAAATCCATCTCCTCCGCCCGAACCCCATGACAGGTCAGCGCCGCGTTGGCGATCCCCATGGCAAACAGTAACCACCGCAAACGAACAAGAAAGACCCATCAGAAATTAATTATCGATTCTCGAAGTCAGCGCGGCGTAATCTGTCAGAAGAAGGTTGTAGCGGAAGAAATAACTTTCGCAATTGTGCAACATTTATCCCGCAAAATAGTTTTCTTGTATATCTTATACTTCTCATATCTGCCTAATGCTTATATATTTTTCTCATAAAATATATATAATAAATGATTTTTACGACGGAAAATTATTAAATTATTTTTACATGAACGTGATGTTAATAACCTGTTGCTTATTTGTCTACAGTTCGGTCTGGCTTGCGAATGCACAACGCTTTCGAGACGGATTAAGAAGCTGATTACGTTCCGAAATATAATTTGTGGTTTATTTATAGCCAGTCCCCAAAATAAATAATCCAAATTTAGTACATATGAAATAAATAAAAATAGAAAAATTTGATAAGCAAAGCATTTTTTCCCCTGATCACAACTTTGAATTATTTCCAGCCGCTAAATTATACGACGCACATATTACTCTCTGACGAAATCTCCAAGCAGAATGCTTTCCGGTCAATGAATGATAATTTAACTTTCGTGGATTATCGTCTAATCCACACGGACAAGCTGCCACAGCTGGCAATACTCCTTCTAAGTCAAAAATACAAATGTAGCATCGCTAAAATTGGATTTCTACTTCCCTAATTAGATTGTTATTTCAAATAACTGAAACTCTTCAATTCCGTATCAAACATCGCAGGTTAAATTGATTTTATCAATAGTAGCGCTTAATAAAATTTTATAACAAAATTTGTTGTAATATACAAAAACATTACCAGAATTCATATATCTCTTATATACGTTACAAAATATCTTTCTGTCTATTTCTATAAATAATTTTTGTCTTTCTTACTAATATATACACAATTCGTAAGTCTACAAACAGTACCCCGTTTTACGGAATGAAAATGAAAATTTTATTTCGTCGAATTTAACCAAAAATTAATGTTATCGATTACATTACACAACAGAGGTTAAATTAAAAATATTTATTCATAATATATATTTACTCTGGAATAAAACATTTCTATACGCACTTTATATATTTTTATCGGAAGAAATATTTTTCTCGAAATATGATAATTAATAATATCTAGTAAGCCTGGTTTATCTTAAGGATTGAGTCATCTTAACAAATATATAAAAGATAACGCTGCTGATATCCATCTTTGCACACCGGTACACCGCAGAATTAAAAAACCTGTCGGCTCCAATCAGTATTAGATCAATCATAATAGGATGAGGTTTCACGGTGAATTGAGATCGGCACAGTTTTAAAAAGCCACCCACCCGGTTTAACTCGCCCCTCACGACGGCGAGATAGCGGAGTAAGGGGACATATTGTATTGGATTAAATTAAGCAGGGGGTACGTTCTTGTACCGAGCATTATATGCACAAAACTTGTGTGCCAAGTGATTCGTGTTTTTCGGGTGGACAGGGAAGCGACGGGGAGACGACCCACCACGAAGGGTGAAGAGAGGTGAAAGATGTCCGATGCAACGGGACCGATATGCCTCGAGGGATCCGACATTATTTTGCCATGTGAGTCGTATCACCTGGATCTCCACGTGATTTTTCTCCCTCCGAATGCGACACGTGCAAATTCGAGGAACTTCACGCTCCGAAATTGCGCAAAATCAAAATGCAGGTCGACTTAGTACTTTTCCGAGCAAAGTACACGTTACATGTACACATCGAGAGACTTATGGAAATTAATTATTTACGCGATAAAGTATCATTCTCGTAACGACTGATGTAAAATTTTACACTATCCGCGAAAATCTTATTGTCACAAAGTCGCAAAATTTCACACTCGTTTTCGCTTTGGCTGCCCGCGTAAGTGAGAACGAAACGCTAACATATTTTAATGTTTACCCATCGACAGTGGTGAGCTGACTATTGACTCTTAAAATCAAGTAAACAGTTCGTAATGGTTAAATACTGACTTAATCACGGGTCACGGGCCGTCGGGGATGGAGGATATCTATGGGGCATGCGGCGGTCACGTGTCGTGTTACACTCGTTTGGGGCACGGGCAATATGTTGACGGCACGTGCGCCGCGGAAGTGCACTTTAACTTCTCTCGCGCAGAATACAACGCAGAGATATTTCCAACTTCCCGCGGGATATAAAATGTCCCAATCAGCTCAAATTAAATTTTAAATATCATAATTATTTTTCTCTCTCTTGTAAAAAAATTCTATATAACATTATACAATAACAGTAATGACTTTAATATCCCATGTAATTCTAACTATTCTAATAATTCTAATAATCAGAGTGATGTATATATAACAAATGACCTATACATAAAAAATAACGTATAAGTACAAGATTAAATAAGAAAAATAAAAAAAAAAATTTTGTTAACTGCATCTCCGAGTGAACGATAAATCGCCAATGGCGGTCCGAATATTCGCAAAAGACATCAATAATACATAAGCCACCGTCTCGCGCAAGACGGCATTAGGGAGACTTTTCGACACTTGCAGAACCGAGACGAATCACCTTTATAGCCACCTCCCCGCAAAGGCGACCATAATTCAGGCTCCGCTCCGCAGCATCTACCGCGATTGCGTTATGTACGGGATAGAGGGACGCGGGACAATGAGATTTGTTCCGTCTCTCCCGTGGCAAAAGGATCCAAGTCCACGCATCCCCTCCACCAGCGCAGGCAATCCAAGCTCGATACGCGCACGGCATTGCGTCCTCGGTCTTTCAAATGTATGCAAACGCGCACTCATCGATAACGACGATATAATACAGAAAGTTCATGACGTGGTGCACGGTTATATTAAGCATACGTCCGCGTTGACGGGCGAGTCACATTTTTCCTGAGTAGCTTGATTTTCGTGCAGAAACCGATTATTTATTTCGGGAAGAACGAAACGTGCGAATATCACTGTACGAAGCTCAGCATATCGTTCTAATAAACGCTAGCAATGTGGTACATGAAATATAAAAGTAAAAATATATTTATATGTAATCAATGTATATATATTAGCAATATGCTTTATACAACAAACTTTATTTTCGCAATATCATACTCGTAAATTATATTTCTTTTTTATTAGTGTATTACCTGCTTACTAATCCCACGCCACATCGGACGGTTTTCTTTTCGCATTATAAAATGTTCCTGCCGCAAATACACGCAAATGCAAGTTTCTTAATCGGACTTAACGATTTCTCCCGCGCAAGGACGACACGCACTTGCGCCTCGCTGTACACCGGCACACCCGGTGCTTGGTGCACGGCACGTACGCGATGTACAAGGCCGGTGGAGGGTGCTTCTCCGCGTAGGCTTATTTTGAGCATCCCACCGAGGGTGCAACGATAATACGTAGATGATAATCGCGATATTAATATCGCATTGGGAAGCGCACACATGCGTGCAAAGGGCCCATTGGTCACGGCGGAACACTTGCTCGCTTGCTGGCTCGCGGTCGTCTGAATTGCACCCTGATTTTAGAAAGAGACGATCAGAGGGTACGACCCTACACCGGGATGCGGGCGTAAGACGAAATTTATCAATAAACAGCGATAAAGGTGAGTGCAGTATTATTAATATTCCGTATTTGTTAAAAAAAAAAATGGGAAATAATTATTCTTTACGAAATCAGACATTCCTTTCAATATAACCTCATAATGTTTAACTTCCAAATTATTAAATTAAAACATAACTGTTTAATTACCAAATTGCTTTAAATTAAAATATATATATATCGAATGAATATTATAAATAAATTGTGTGTCAAAACATTTGACAAATTCTGCATTATCCCCCCCCCCCTACTCCCCCAAGAAAGAGTTTTCCCGATATCTATGTTCCTACTGACTAGACTGAGACCTTCCACACTTCTGTTTACTACCCACGAACTATAAAAGGGGCTCGAACACTTGCCGCGCACATTTAGGCGCAAAGATTGGGGTACAAAAGAATGGCGAAACACACTCGCGCTCGAGTTTCTAGAGACCAGAGAGGGGTTGGTGTGCAAGGGATGGTGCGGCTTGTGAACACTCGTGTCATTCCCTGGTCCAACCATACATGCGGATGAATCACGTCAGCCATGGAAGAAGTTTGCAACCATGCCCCTTTTCTGGTTCCTAGTCAGGGACCAAAATCTGCCGAAGTCTTTCTTCCACGAAGTCGTAAATGAAAAACACTAATGTTACCTTTTCCATTTATTCACGTCAAAATTTATCTGTGAATAATTTCTTACGTAATTTTTGCACCTTTTGTCTAGCATCGGCAAGACTCTCGTCAACTTTTATTAAAATGAAAATAACTAATAAAATAACTTTCGCAAAACCTACCGACTTGACATTCATCTCGATATTCATAACTTGGCACGACCACTTTATCACATGCGCGATTAATCATGTCGTTGAGAGCGAAAAGTGCATAGCATTCGGTGAAAAGCGTTTTACACGATAATCCATCTCGCATACGACAAAAAAAGAGGGGGAGGGAGATACGCGTCGGCAGGATAACGGCGGATCGTACTGGGTGCATCAAGATCGCCGAAAGATTAGGCAAATCTAGACGATATCGCGCCCATGTGATCAATGCTTGAACCGTCGGGAAGAATGAGCCACTTAATTTCCTAATCAACCGTTGATTCAGATGCACCTTTCGGTCGATCCCTCGCACTCGTACGGAGACGTGCAGTGAGCCGCAGCTGAGCCAAACAATGTCCTTTCACATGAGGCTTTTATAGCCCCATCGAGCGTACTAAAGTTCGCTTCTGACCGTATCCTGCCAACCCGCGAATCACATCCGCGTCTTCATCAAAATCGTACACGCGGAAGCTGGATTTCGGACTGATAGATCAACCGAGATCAAGATGTGCGACGTCGCCATTATTTAAATGAACCGTTACTCTGAGCGTGTATTAGCGAGTCGCATGTAAAAAGAATTTTATTGATAGCTTTATTATATATATTCAATTTTATTATGTATGCATTAATATTAATATATATTTTTATTCTCAACTAAAAAATAGGTTCACGAGAATTCCCTTGAATCTAAATATATGACACATCTGTTGACTAGTAAAACAATTCTTATGCACGCGACCTTAGAATTCGTTTACATGGTACCGCATATTTATCGTGGCACCAAATACTAGGCGATAGGTGCTAATTTCATTGTTAGTTCTCGCTAATCTCTCCAGGCGGCGAGATATGACGATCGCTAATATACTTCTACTTGTACACCAGCAGATCTCACGGCTATGCTTGTAACGTTTTAACTACATTGAATTATTACGAATCGCAGCATATTTCCAAAATTAATGATTAAACTGTGCCAATACCTTCATTAATACTTTTCATAAGACCAAAAATGTTCTATGAAAAAGTGTTATTTATATACATGACGAAAATAAAAAAAAAACAATTTTACTTGATTCTTCATTACACAAAATGTGTCAACTTATCTTCGCGAATCAAAAAATCTGCTCGATATTTTTTATTTGAAATTTATTCAAAACTTTATGTCTAACCAGAATTTCTTCTTTACGCATTAATGTACTTTGTGCGCTTCTAATAGAGGCAAATATAATGTTGTTTAAATCAAACAATATCAAAGTGCTTATTTGTTTAAACAAACGCATACATACATTGAATACATACATGAATTAATAATTTATTTAACTCGATTACAAAACGAGTCAATATATATGTTAATTAATAACCAACCTATATATATATATATATATATATATGTATATATATATATATATATGTATATATATATATATAAATAAATGGTGCATTACTTTTCTAGGTGTAGGTTAGGTGCAAAAGAAAAGGTGCACCTTACGACGTGGTGAGCTCCCTACAGCCACCCTAAATTTGCTCCTCCCACTCTCCATACAATGGGCCGCTGCGACGGCCCCAACTCTCAAAATACAATTACATTTCACACGGTGGCGGTGGTGGAAGACCTGCGCAGAAGACTGGCATTCTTCATCCGGCAGCCAATTTGTAGTAGATACGGCACAGTGCGTACTTAGAGCATGTACGATATGCAACTCTGCATCAGGTAACGGCTTGATTTCTCGCCGCATCCTTCTGACCGTCCGCTACAAACTTATCGGAGATAAATTTGCGATACGAATGAATCGGTGTGGTTATTGTTTGTTTCGTGTCACGCGAACTGTAAATTTACCGTTGCGCATTTTAAGTGGACTTCATCTCGTGACAGGGTACCAGGACGTGGTAGTGGTTCCAGTATTGTGGAAATTTTATAGTTTAACTTTATAGTTGAAACTTTTCAATGTTACCAACGCGGTCGAGAAAACATCGCTATTTCTCCGGAGTGACTTTCGGAAGCGTGTCCTCCGAAGAAAAGTCTAAGACAAAGAGGAGCAGAGAAGATAACTCCGCGAAAGATGTTCGTGCGCAAGCAATCACTACCTCGAGAATATATCCTGTAGTACCACAGAACGCTCAAGAGTTAGAGGGAACCGATGTGTCACAAGGATATACTAATTTTGTGTCATCTATCGTATGTACGACTGTTAGAGCCGCTGGAAATCTTAGCAAGAACTGTTCGACGGAAATCATCGATGTCAATGCATTGGCTCAAAGAAGCATATCCGTCGCTGACCACGTATGTAGCAAAAATGCTTACGTTCTACCTTGAGATTCAATAAGAAAGCTTAAATTCGTGTTTAACCTCTGATTCACTTTCATTTAATTCTTTTCAATTATGATTTAAATTGTATATATTATTGTATATGTATATGCATAGACTCCCGGTAGCTAAAGATTAATGTGTAATATGTCTGAACATATTATTTTCTGTGGAAAAGCTAAGTTTCCTCATATGTTGAACAACACGTTACGTGAGAAACAAATTTCTGTTCGTAACAATATATTTAATTTATACACTTAACACACACACTTAAAACACTTAATCATTTATACAAATATTTACTTGAAATAGAGTAACTTCAATGCGTGAATAAGAGAGCATAGAGTAGAGTAATCCATAAAAATATAACTGTTTTGTTTTCAATCAAAACTTTATGTCTGTTTAACCAAAAACTTCAGATTGAGATTGTAGAAGTTGGAGGCCGACTCTATTGTGTCGATGGATTTATGAATACACCCTGTTGGCTGAAGACAATCGACATAGCTCAAGATATTTCCATGTGTAACGTTAAACTCACGAGTGCCAAAGAAGGGGTATTTTTGAAAACTGTCAAAAGCATAAAGGCGGGAGAGTCATTACAAATGTGGTTCACCGAAGAGATTCTGCTCATGTTGAATATACCCTTTCTACTGCCGATGAATATTCGAAGTAAGATAACAGTTGTCGAACTGAAACAGCTTTCCTCATATATATATATATTTTTTTTTTCAATCATTATTATTATTATTAATTTTATAATCCTTCGTCAATTTCCTGACGACTGTTAAAACGCATTTTCTCACGATTCTCTCACAATTTCACAGTAACTGTCAATTTTATCATTAACATTTCCATCGATTCGAATTTTGAAATTAATTGAAACATCAAACACACACAGGTAACAAGAGCTATATATGCCACATCTGCAGCAGAATCTTTGAATATCCGAACCCGCTGAAGCTGCATATAGCGCTGAATTGCAATCGATTGAACAAGGCTCATATCTGGACGTACTTGGCGAAAGGATTTGCCACTTTGGGCTCTTCGGGAACACGCCTAACTAGCAGTCTCTACCCACAGACGAGCTTCACGTTCGAACTGACCAGCCCCACGATGACATTGCCGGCCAACGTGCTCTCTCCGATTCTCACAGAAACAGTCTACACCGGGGTGTCATTGAGGAACGATTCACCGTGTTCGAATCAACCGTCGCCCCTATCCTTGAGCCAGCTCTCCTCAAGTTCATCCTCCATCGAGACGCCGAATCCATTGGATCAGATGGCGCCCACCGAAGGACTGACCTCGAGACATTCCGCTTTCAAACCTTATGTACCTCGGGACAACGTTAGCAGAAGCCGATTCGCGCCCTACAACGTGCGTCTACCCGCGGTGACGTCTTTGGAAACTGACGCGATCGCTATCGACATGGAGACGATCGTCAGCAACGCAGGTAAATCCAAGGAGGGCCATCGGTGTATCTACTGCGGCAAGCTCTACTCGAGGAAGTACGGCCTCAAGATACACATCAGGACGCACACCGGCTACAAACCATTGAAATGCGCGTTTTGCGAACGCGCCTTCGGAGATCCCAGCAATCTCAACAAACACATCAGGCTGCACACCGATGGTGACACTCCCTACAAGTGTCATATATGCAGTAAGGTAATGGTCAGAAGAAGGGACTTAGATAGACATTTGAAGTCGAGACATCAACGGAAGCAAGCTGAGAACGCCTCGGAGGAGTCTACCAGCGCAATCGACACGTGAGTGACAAATTTCGCTGATAAAATATCCCTTATTTCAGTGCTAGAACCATAGAGATATAAGAATAGAGGGAACAAGCCTGTAAGTGGAAGTGATAGAGGCAAAGAGAGAGATGGATGCCGAGTGTCCTATCTGTCTCTTTCTAGTTGAGCGCTGTGATTGGTTGTTACAATGAGCCGCCAAGATGACCACGCGACGTCAGGAGGGGAGAAAGCAGACTAAAATTTCGTTTTGTAAATATGCGTGCACATGTGTGTAGAATTAAAATTCGTTAAATATTCGAACGTTAACAAAATAATAATTGGACGCAATTTGTTTAAAAATGAGGCATTGTTTGAAATGCAAGGCGGAGTCTTATCCTGGATGTAACCGCAGTTTTCACTTGTAAGAAAGTACAAATACGTAACCTCAAATAATTATATGTTATTTTTTCCTACATTTAAAAAAATATGTAAATGTTGTAGGCTACCGAAGGATGTGGATATAAGGCGTAAATGGTTGAATATACTTCAACTACCTTTGTATTTTGAAGTGAAAACAGCATATATTTGCAGTGATAATTTTAGCAATGACAGTTTCTTTGAATTGGATGGAGAAAAATGTATAGCTATATCGTCGTTGGCGCGGCAGCCAATCCCAGCGCGTGACTAGAAAGAGACAGATAGGACACTCGGCATCCATCTCTCTCTTTGCCTCTATCACTTCCACTTACAGGTAGCATATATCCCTTGTTCCCTCTATTCTTATATCTCTATGGCTAGAACACTGTTATCTTCGTTAAAAGGAAAGCCATGATCAATTGTAAATATCGAAATAGATGAAAACTTATCAAAATGAATATAACTTAAGAATTGTAAAATTATAAGAGAAGTTTCTCTCATATAAATCGTAATATAATTATAACGTGTCCGAGACGCGTAGACAAATAAAAATATAGCTTTAACATTTGAGTACATTCCACAAGTTTTTTTATGAAACAATTTAAAAAATCATACATTTGCAAAAAGGCGATAATAATTTCAAATAACTAAAGATAACATTAAAGTATTTTTAATGTTATAATTAGAGACAGAAGAGAAATATTATATTCTCTCTTACTATTGGTCTCTTAATTACATACTCTCAATTAAATTATAACAATTTTATAGAAACTTTTCAAAGCTGTTGACCAAGGATTTTCTCGTATATAAGAGTTATCTTTATAAGATATATTGTTATTATAATATGTAAAGAGATCTATGTAATATAATAATAAAACTGTTATCTTTTGAAAATCAATAAATATATAAATTTTCTAATTTATCCAAATTCGGTTCTACAAGGTATCCTGTATGTTTTTTTCCATGTTTTAATATAATAATGATAATGTAAATAATTACCCTTTTACTTACAAGATCTTACTAGACACATAATATTTGTATCACATATTATATGTAAATAAGCAATTACGATAAATAGAAATAATCAGTAGCAGTTGTTCACTTGAGAATATATAATATGTTCTGTTTTGGAATCAAAACAACAATTGTTGTCAAACATGTTATATATATATAAAGACATTCATTTTATTTACACGTTCATGTCCAAATTTTCAATTGAAATTTGAACCGACATATTATCTTACGATATCTCATGAAATTATATATATTTATTCAATATTATTCGCACGCGCAGCTGTATAATTAGTCATAGCAATAATTATAGATAGATTCACTCACTGATCACATCAATATTTATAGATAGATTCACTCACCAATCACTGCATTATTCTTACTGTCATTAGATGTTTGTGGACAAGTGTCCGTTGACAAATGCCCGTTGCCGAATTAGCAAGTTGTCCATTGCCCGTCAGCAAGTATCGTCGGGAAATGCTACAAAGGAGATGATAGAAACGATAAATTTAACGTGATCCAAGTCCTAAATCTTAAAATACAAACGTTAGTAATAATATCATCCTTCTCTTACCGGATTAAGCAATTGAATAGTTAAATTCTTTTTGCCGTACGCCGCGCGCCGTTTTAATATCCACGCCATCTTGCATAAACTACGACTCGATCTGAATAAGTGTTCCTTCAGCCACCCATCGTACACTTTTATATCGCCTCTTTCTCCCTCCAAGCTTATAAACGTACTTATAAGTGCAGAAAGTGTAGTTGAGGAGATCTATTCGTCTTAAATACATTGTTTTTAAAATTTCCTGGTCTTTTCGCCTCCGTATGTTGTCCTCCCTTTATCAAATCTCAAATATATTACTCACGTTTATTTGTCAAATAAATTTCAAGAAAGTGTAATGCAACTCGATTAAAAGGGACAAAACTATTTCAACTGAGCAAAATAGCGCCGTGACGCTAACGACATCTCCGAGTAAGTTTCGTACCTCGCTGTCGACTGCACGTCGATAGCTGCAAGCCACCATCGTTTTCGTCGACAAATCGAGGTGGTTGATACGATATTTACAGGACTTTAAACGCGCATACGGATAATTGTAAACGGTGAGCATAACAATCTCATTTTACTCGCAAAGTGTAACACATTACGGTACAAAAACTTGCATCTATTTGTCCAAACGATCGTCGAATATCGGAAACTGAAAGGCCGAATTATATACGTGTGTTTCACACTTGTGATGTAACAGCCTCACCAATGTCACTGTTAACACGAGGGAGACGTATTTCTGACAGAAATTAATTGTTCTTTTAGCGCAAACTCGTTTTCGAAATGGCCACGATCGCTCGCACTCTCCGCCCTTACCTGAGGTGCATCCGCAGTCAAAGGAGAACCTACGCAGATGCTGCCAGTGATGAGATGAAATTTACTTTTGCTGGTGGCAATCAGGTAATAATATAATAATAATGGCATAGAAATAGATAGCCAGTGCTATAAATGATAGTGTTTAATTATAACAAACATACAGATACTTAGTTAAGTTCTTCTGAAATCAGGTATTTTATGACAAAACTACAATTCGCCAAGTCGACGTACCTTCCTTCTCGGGTTCTTTTGGCATTTTAACAAAGCATGTACCCACATTGGCAGTGTTAAAGCCTGGAGTAGTTACGGTTTATGAACAGGATGGTTCAAACAAGAAAATTTTTGTGTCATCTGGTACCGTTACCATAAATGAGGACAATAGTGTACAGGTATGTACTAGTTCTTTTGTGAGCTCAAAATGATAAATATGGAATCTCTGAAATGATACATTACTTTTCTGTAGATTCTAGCAGAAGAAGCTCATCCAGTAGAAGACCTTGATAGTGGAGCGGCAAGAGATATTCTTACCAAAGCCCAACAACAACTCTCATCAGCAACGTCGGACATGGACAAAGCTGAAGCAGCTATTGCAGTCGAAGTCGCAGAAGCTCTTGTACAAGCTTCACAATAAAGCATTAAAAGTAATATGAAATTATATACTAATGATAAGATATATATATATATATATATCATTCACCACGCTACCAGTCCTAGAAAGAGACATGTGTTCAGTACACTTTTCTCATAATTGCTGTAACAATAAAATAATAATAAAACTATATTAAGTTACGTACTTGATTATATATTAGAAATGGATTACAGAGAGTTCGTTTTTATCATAAATTCTTTATTAGTGTTAGTTGATTTTGTTCATTAACAACATAATAAATACGCTGCCATTTACAAGCTATTTAGGTACATTGATTTTATTGCAGTTTGCAAGTACTTATAACAGCCATAAGAATTTCCACGCTAAAAATGGTTAAAAATTAATATTTCTCCAACCTACTTTTAGTAACGCTGTGTCAAACACTGAACTCTAGATAAAGCCTAAAACGTAGTGACCGTTACTATTATAACGTTATGAATACTTTGGATGTTCTGTATATGGTTGGCGCTTCTCGATTAACCCACGAAATATCAAGTTCCTTTTTAGATATGTGTACTAGCGAGCGAAGTATTTTCTTTTTTTTTTTACAGATATCGCAAAAGTCAGAATATATAGCGTAATATCCCTAGGGTTAACGCCGTTTCTTGAAAACCAACGTATTCATTTTTTTTTATAGTAGCGCAATAAATAAAATTCTTAATCGCATATAACTCTATATATATATAATTTTTGGTATTAATTATAGATTATAATTAAAAATTATCGCTAATATGCTGTACATATTTCCAATTCCTTTCAGCTTTGCAACCGGTTGCCACGCTAAACCAACAATTTACAACAATGCTACAAACCAACCGCACATGAAAAAGACAGCATACGTATTTGTGACTGAAATATCAAAACTATCTATCTAGTTTCGCAGCACAAGTGTGAAACTTGATATAATATATTTATAAAACGTCATTCGTTTTGTCAAAATATCTTATTTATATAAAAATAATTGTGCGCATCTTTTTCCCTTGCACTTCTGTTGTCGGCTTTATCAACTTTACGTTACATCTGAGTGTGAACGATATCTCAAAATTGCGAATACGTTGTTTATTATATCACGAATTATGCAACAGTAAATTTTGCGCTTATAAATTTTGTATATATATAAATTGCTCTTTGTAAAAAAATCTACAAACGTTTGGCACAAAATGTATATCATACTTGTATAGAACCCATTCTAGAATTCCATAGGAATATATAGCATATGTATGTACAGTCATATATTCTCATATATATATATATATATATTCCTTGTCCTAGATGCAACATTTGGAAGGCACAGATTGCCCACAAGGCGAATTTAAAGCTATCGGTGTGTAGTCTCTAACAAATCACAAATCTTTACGAGCGTTAATGTAACGTGCGCACAGCGTTATTTCCCTGCGTGACTAGTTAGCGAAGAAAATTGATTCGCGCGGTTTTCACTGATTCCTGGCTAGTTTGCACTTCATCAAGGATGGCAGCAACTTTTCCCTACAGCACGTAGCGCTGCTAGTGCTCTTGCAACAATTGCGACTACTAAATACTTTCTGCAGTTGCTGCAGCGTCTTCAGGCAGATTACGACACAGCAGGAGTCACAGCCGCCGGACTCGGCGTTGCAGGAACACCCGTTTTGCAGGGAGGACACGAAGTCGTCCACGATCTTCAGCGTCGTGTCCTTCTTCGCGACTTCCGCGGCGGGTCCGTTCGTGCAGTTCTGACAGTTCTGCAGGTTGTCGCACTTGCAGTCGACGCATTTACATATATCGGCGTCCGCCGTGATCTCCTGCAGAACGTTCCTGCCATCCTTCTTGCTCGCGACGACCGACCTCCGCTCGTCGTGATCCTCGCCGGCCTCCTGGCACTGCACCACTTCGGTGCTCGCCGACATGATGTACTCCGTATTCACCGCGTCGATGTTCTTCAAATTCTCCGTAGATGGTAACTGAGCCTCGATCTCCAGCGGATACGGCTCCGGGCCCACCAGATCGACCAGCGAGTGGACCGCGGTCGGGAAGGCGTTTAGTTCGGGCCAAGACTGAGTCCTAAGGGCGGGTGCGGTCGCGAGCGCCATCACGTCGATCCAAGGCGACGGTAACTCCTCCTCGGTCGCGATCGCCAGCTCCACGGCTTCCGAGCGGGTGTTCGCGCACAAGTCGTGCGAGACCGCACCGAGCGACTCGTTCGGCAACGTCGCGTCGTTCATGAAGGAGAGAGCCTCTATCCCGCTGTCGAAGAGGTTGCCTTCGCTCGAGGAACTTATGATATCGGGCATATGACTAGTAATACAATTGGCACTATACAACGTGCCGCTACCGTCGGCCATGCTGCCCGCATTCGCATGGTCTACATCGAACACGTCGTCGGGAGCGGCGATTGGCTTGTTCTTATACTGTTTTATACCGCTCGCGAAGTCCGTTTCCTCGGAGATGTGCGCTATCGCGTTCCGCAGGCCGTCCTGCATGATCTTCTGCTCTAAACTGATCGTTACAGGCCGATCTTGCCTGCCTATACTGTCACCGCGCGTCTCCGGTAACGAGGCGGACTCGTGCCGATGATTCCGATGACCGGCTAGATCCGCCAGATTGTCGTGTCGCGCGTTTGGCTCAGTCAACTGATTGAATACCTTAAATTCGTTATAATTCTCGTTATTGTTGAAAGCGTCGACTGCGTGTTCGCCGAAGTCGGCTAAAACGATGTCCGTTGCGAGAAGCGCGACGTCCTCGGTGGTTCTCCTCGAATCTTCCATGTCTTTGGTAGAAATGTACTCGAGTTTCACGTCCAACTTGCGATGGTTCATGATCTCGAGCGTTACGTCGGTGGGAGCTACCGCATTGTCCGCGGATGCGTACGGCATGTTCCTGTTGTTTTGCACGAGATCCGAGGATATCGGCACGACGGCGTACGACGGTATGGCGGTGTCGCTCGCATTTACCTTCACGAGCTTCAATTCCAATTGAGTCGGTTTGTTCCGCTCCTCAGTCGTCGTATCGTCACTTCCGCTGTCTTTGTGTTTCTATGTAAAATAGAATGAAATCCATAGAATTGACAAAATTGAAATTCCCTGCGACGATCAAGGCTCCTCTGTTTTCTCGCTCTAGCCGTCTTGATTAGTGAAGTCAGAAGCGAAGAAACGACATTATCTCACTTCTGACATTCAAACAAGATGACTGGAAGCGAGACGTCAGGAATCTTAACGCGAGACGATATTTCTCTTATTGTCGGTATCACTTACAGTTTCGTTATTCATAGATTTATTGTGCGTTTTGATATGGCTTTTCAGGCTGTGCGGAGTAGTGAAACATCGTTTGCAATTATCGAAAGTACAAACGTATGGCCGTTCACCCGTGTGCGTCCTCTTGTGAGTTTTCAAATGATGCGAAGCCGTGAAAGCCTTGCCGCAACCCTTCTCCCTGCACCTTGAAATAAATGAAGGATGATAACAAAAGGACAAATTCTGAATACCTCTAAGATATACTGAATATCTCATGTGGGAAATGGCGTCTAAGTGCGAATTAGCCGAGTCTTAGGATCCCGTTTCTTTCCATTTAATTAACGTGTTTGCAAGACAACGGTCTGTACCTAACGCTTTCGTTTGCCTTTTTTAACACGTTAAGTGGCCATCGTGGGCCATCGGTGTTAAATATCATAGGAAGTACCGGGAAGAACATACTTGTACGGTCTTTCTTGAGTATGAGTACGTATATGTTTCTTGAGATCGCTTAGAGTAGTGAAGAATTTAACGCATCCAGTCTCTTCGCAGTTGAATGTGTTGCCGCTGTGGAGTCTTTGGTGAGCTCTCAGTCTGTAAAGGGTATTGAATGCTTTCTTGCAGCCTTTGTGATTGCACTCGAACGGTTTTACTTTCGTGTGTACCCTAACGTGGATCTTTAGGCTGTAGGACGTGAGAAAGGCCTTGCCGCAACTCGGCTCTGCGCATTTAAATCGATACTCGCCTGAAAGTTTTGAGAATTCCCTCCACATAAAAAGATTGCAGGGCTACCTATCTCTTGCGGTATCTGAAAGCCATGCAGGTCGAAGCGTTCCCTTTATACCAGCACTGACTTAATAATATCATTTTTTTTCTCTTTTGAGATAGCATCGGAAATATGTAATATGTAAATGCATAAACGAGATAAACATGTACATATTCGGTAAACTTTTCTATAGCCAGCGACATCGATATGTGATAATAAGGTTGATTAGACTTACCTGAGTCTTTCTATCCATCGAATATGCAAATATAAGAGCATGTGTTAGTATTGCATATAGAATAAATGGCACATATTGGACAAACACAACGTGCAAAGCATGATGATTTTCTTAATGATACAGGCCAAACAGGATTATGGATGAGCCAGCCAACAAAAACAAATAATCAAAGTTCTTTGCCGAAACGAACGCACTAAACAAGACAAAAGATCTTAAAAATATTAAATATAACTATAGCAAATTAATTACAAGAGAACTGAATATATACATCAGGATCAGTTTTATTACTGATATCTTTTTGTAAGAAATGATGTAGAAACATCTCGAATGATTAGAAATACACGATTAGAGACGGTTTATCTTGTCATGAAAGTCTTCTGATTTCTTTTATCGCATTTTTAAAAAGTCACCAAAAAATATGTATCTACCCTTGATGCAAAACTAATCTCACCTTTATGTGTTTTCATGTGAGTACGCAAATTCCCGATAGTACTGTACGTTCTGCCGCAGCCTTCGTATTGGCAATTATAGCGATTGATATGTTTCTGATTGCCATCCAGATCCATACTTTCAATTGTGATAGTTGCGTGAGGATTTGCACAGTCTTCAGGTAATATATCATCTTGTTCTGGATGGATTCGCATGTATACTTCATGTGGGCTGATAGCGTGATGGGCATATCTATAAATACACATTATTTAATTTATAAGTTTTTTATTAGAAGGTTCTTTCTAAATAGTTTCCAGATGTTTGACACAGTTTAAACATTTATTTAAGTAACCTTTTAATTGATTTGCCCTTGGTTCATATAATATAAAGTATATATCAGCACGATATATTTGCTTTACCAATAGTCTTACAATTTCATCCATAAATGAGACAGCACGTACATGCCAATTTTACTATTAAAATTAAGTATGCAGCAGTATCTAGCTATGAGTAATACGCTCAATTTATACTGCTATATGTGGATATCATCAAAACTAAATTTATAACAAACAGTGCACCTGCAGCCACAAAAGAACGCAAAAGTGTCAGAATGCCAATAATGAATAAACTGAACAATAACGATCATAGTACATGAAAAATAATATTCCTCTTTCGTTTTAATTTTTTTATATCTTTATAATAAAAAATAATCTCACATGTATAAAATATAACAATTTATTGTCCACAAAAATATTAGTTTACAGCACACAGAAAACAGAGAGAACCGTATCTTACAATTGTGTAACAGTATACACACATACACACACATACACGTAGGCATATAGCTTATCACGAAATCGGCATATAGCAATTGAACTGTGTCAACAACAACAGTCAACAATGCATCAGCGACGTAAACGTCGACGCGTACCAATATCTTATTTGGGCGCCACTTCCTTTTTCAAACGATTCAAAAATTTAAGGCTCTTATTTCAAAACACGTTATAGCCTTATAAGGAGGGGACAGGGAACACCGACGAACGTGCGAACAAAATATTGACGGTGCGATCTACCTGTTATCAAAGACTAGATGTACCGCGAACGAGCGCGATCGGAGAACGAGGGATGCGAAAAACGGAGTCGCGATCGATCGTGAAAACTCGCGAGGAAATCTCACCCGGTCGTGTTGTCATCGGGTAGCCTCTCGTTGATAGCGGCATCTTCGTCGGAGTACCTCTCGTAATTGAACACCGTGCTCTGCTCGTAGACCTTCTCGAAGCTCGACAGATCCAAAGTCTCGTCCAGGCAGTCCTGCAAATCGTGCGTCACGAGGATGCTGTCGAAATTACTGTCGATACCGTCCGTATTCTCGTCCACCTGAAACCTCTCACTCTTCCACGTCGCCATACTTTTTCACCGAAATTGCGAAAACAATTCATGCGACGGACTCTGCCTGCGCTCTGACATAAGCTGCTATCTGCATCGCGATCGATACGATAGATCTCTGTCGGCCGAACGTTGCCGACGCGTGAGAGGAAGCGAGATGGCGCGCCGCGCGTGAATTGCCGACACGTTACGCTCTCTAGCGTCGTTTCCCTCCTTTCGAATCTCGCAATGGACCGCGTAATCTGCACGTACCGTTGCTCCAGGTAATTTAGTGATAATTACAATGATCGCTCGACGATAAGAGTAATAATTAATCAATTATCGGCTTCTCTTTTGTCTGATTTCATTTCTGTCTAAATATTATCGGTTTATCTTGTATGCTTCGAAATTGTAATATCGCGCTATCCCATATACAATATATCGGGTAACATCGTTTCTCCGAAACAAATTCCGTTTATTTTATATGTATTTAACAACATATCGCGATGGTGGATTGATGTTGCCCTCGAGTGAATATTATAATTACTCTGACTGATCATAGGTTATGTTACTGTAAGAGATGAATATTTTATTCCAAGCTTGAACAGACAAGAAACATAATTTCGGAAATTTAAAGGTTATGGCAGATAAATAAGCTGTCGCGAACTTCTGGCGAAAGAAAGTTAACGCCTTCTTGAATCATCTCAGGGATCTACCGAGATTTCCCAAGAATCCTGTAACATTCTATATTTTTCTTGTACTTTTGCATTATCATTCTTACAGGATTCAGCTTCCAAATTAAAGAAAACTTGGTCCAACAATTCAAAGAAAGCGTTCTAAGATTCTCAAAAAAGATTAATTTATAGAAGATTTCAAAAGTATATTTTTCTTTTTATTTTACATCGGATTGCTACATCAATTTTTCGTTAAATTGCAGGGTTGTGAATTACTATGTGTGTGTAATTGGCGAGTAATAATTAAGTACATCAATTATTAATCACCTTGTATGTCGCGATAACACGCACGCTCGCACTGAACATATTACTGAATACCTTTCAATGGAAGCTTGTAGTCACGATGACCTTGTTGATGACGTGACTCCGTGATTGAAAGCATATATCCCTTAACAATCTAAAGATAATGACAAACTTTCTGCTAATGAATAACAGTTCGGGCAGAATTTTTTTTTTCGTCGAGCAAGTGGTACATTAATACTTACAGACGCGAATCTCGTGAAATTCATTAAAAGTTTGAATTGACTTTTCGAACGATAAAGAGTTAAAAAATTAAGATAAGAATTTAGACATCTGTGCGTGTGCGTATATGTGAACGAAAATAAATGAAAGATAAAATATTTATCAAATACATTTCGATTATCGCTGATAATTACAGTCGAAGTTACAAGCGATGATAATAATTAACCGATGGTTATTTTTACTTTTAAGAATGACTTCAGAATTTCCAACACACATGTAAAACAGTTTATGTCATTGCGGCAACGTAATATTTCACTAGACGAGTATACACTTTTTTCTATCCTACATACCTGTCACTTAAATATGTATGATAAGGCGTGGATCGTTATCGCGCAAAGAACTAAAAAATGGGATCATTTAAAATTAACATGTAGATTTGTTTATCTATATCCTTGATACATCGCAATGCAGCATTTCATTACTTTGAAGACCTACTTTGCCAATCATTAGTGGGAAAGATAGTGTCACGCCTTCTTCATAAAAGTAACAATGCACCGTTTTATTCACTTGCTACTTGCTTTTATATTCCTTCTTTATTTTCTAAAGTCTGTACGTTTCTCAGCGATTATATATATTTTGTACAGGATGTTGCCAAGCTGCTGGATATGAAATAAATGATTAATGTTAATTGAATAAATAATATATATTAATATGATAATAATATGATAATATTAAATAAATTTAAAAAAAACGTCTTTATATTGGTGAGAGATCAATTTTGTGCCAGTCGGATAATTTGTAATGCGAAAAGAATTTCTAGTAAACATTCAGCAGCTCTCTGGAACACTCTGTACAGGTAAAATATTTTCATCAATTTTTTCTCTCTAATGATCCACGCTACATCCACTGTTTATCTATGCCACATATCACAGATGGAGAAGTTAAGTGACATTCTGTTTGTTCGATGTCAAGATGCTTTATTGACGGGGCCGTTCCGCTCCGTTTACCTCGATATTAAGTTACAATGTAACGTGCATAATTTTCATACACTGAAACCTTTGAGGGTGAAATTACTACTTGTTAATTACTATTCGCTAATTAGTATTATCAATGCATTCTAAATTCTTTTTTGTTTTTCACACATAGTCAACACATACGTCGGCATAAAATCTCATCACGCGATAGAAATAATAACAATTAAAATTAGAAATATAAAGCAGCAGGCCAAGGTTTCCCAAACCTGCATGAAGTGACCTATTGTTTGTACTACTTTATTGTTTTACTTTTCAACTTTTTATTGATTATAATTTTATAAATCCATTTTTTAGATATATGAGGTGTGTGTGTGTGTCTAAAAAATGTGCTTGTTTTCTATTTCTGTTGATGACAACTTTAACGTTGACATCGACGCAAGTCACTTTCGGGCCAAAGAATTTTGACAATTATAATTTCTTCCGCAATTTGTTTTAATTCCTGTCATTGTCGAAAATCCAATTTCACACATATACGCGAAGTAATAAAGTGTAATATAGCATTCTAAAATTTTTCGTCCATACTTTGGGAATTCCCGCAGTAGATGTTTTAATTTATATATTTTATTTAAAGTAAAATGATACATAAAAAATGCAAAAAAAAACATTTAAAAAATATAAAATTGAAAAATAAATATACGAAAACAAAAATGTAAAAATTAAAATGTTTATCGCCCCCTTTTCATATCTGGGATTAATTTTTTTTGTAATTCCATATCTTTTTGCAGGAAAGAGATGACATCATTCGCTAACGACTTTATTTGCGACTCGACGTATTGCCGTTACATCACCTCCGTTCGCGATCCTCGCATCCTTCGACGGTGAGTATAAACTGATATGATTTTTTCATTTTTCCGTTACTCCGCGGATCGTTAATCTCAGAATAGTTAGCATCTAATCTCGACTATCGTACTGCCACGAACAAGAGAACGAGTTGGAACACGGAGCTCGCCGATTCCACACGATTGCATCGGTTAGTTAATCACCGTATTTTCTCCACGAGCATACAGTCGGTCGCTCGAGGGACCGTCATGCCAATGGAAACGATGGAAGCCAGTCACCGGTGACGACCGGAACGTTATTTTGCCGCGCCGTCAATTTTTGAACGCGCCGGGCGTACCCCCGCGATGTCCAGCCCGGTGTTAATTGTTATCTTTTTCTTTGGCGTGCGTTTTACGTTAATGTTTACACACCGTCGCCGGTAGATTGATATCGGTACGTGGGACACCGGAAGTGTCGTGCGCCAGACACCTAACATATACACACATCCACATTCTCCATTTATCTTACCGACATCGGCGTTAAAGCCGCTTTAAGTGGAAGAACTTAGTTTGCAGCCAGACAGTAGGACGAGAGCGTCGACGGTGGACGCGATGCCGCGTGTAATCGCCGGCACTCAGGGTAGTTAGGGTAGTCTTCCATGATTCGCAATTATTCGGCGATTTGGATCCTCCCTTTGACGGATCGGACGTCACTTAGGTCGAATTTCGGCAGCGAAGTGCTGTAATTTGGGACGGGCCACTTTTGATCGCGACGCGAGTGTTATCAGTACGAGGATTTTTTTTTTTTTTCATATCCGAGCAAACCATTCTCGTCCCATTCGTCCCGTCGCTCGTTTCGCCGAGGGGAAGACGGCAGCGATAGAGGACACTTGGTTCTTTTTCTTTCCTTCATAATTTAAGTTATTCGCAAAGACGGACGTGTAACTTGGTGGACCGCTTGCGTGTTTTGCTTGCCTTTTTTAATGGATATTCACGGTATAATTGTTGCGCGTGCTCTGCTCAGTATTCAGTAAACAAAATTATTAAACGCTGCAATACACCTTTCACCTCGATAAATCTCGCGACGCATCACGTATATAAAAAAGGTTTTAAGAATTACTGAAAAACAATTTTTCTCGTTGGTTGCGGAATGCGTTGAAAAACTCATCAAGATGAAAGATATTGCAACCTTTGCTCATCTGATTGTATTTAAACGCGTTTTTATGTATATATGTATGTACTACACATGTATTGGAAATTTTTATATCTCGTCTCGCGGAGAAAGTTCAAATCGCGTTTCTTCATCATTCCATATTTCGATCGCTGCGTCATTTTTAACGTAAAAATATGCAGAACATCCCGGCCTGGGAATGTTTACGACGTACGATACGCGATCCGACAGACCTTCGCATTGTTTGAATTAACATGCACTTAAACTGCAAAGTCCTTGTTACGTTAATATGAACCCTTCGACTCGGCTTCGCAGAGTTTCGCGTCTCTTCCACGTGTACTTCAAGAATCTCATTAGACGCGAAATAAAGACGCACCGGATAATACATTGAAAAGCAACATATCAAATAAGAGCAGCCGGGGCATATCGCCTTATATTTCGCGAATTCCACGATGTCCTCGATGTCCCGATGACATTGTCGTCGTTGATTTCGCGACGAGTCGTCTCGTTCTCTCCTGTGCTGATCGATTTCTTCTTCCCCATTCGTACGAAGGCAGACATCCTCTGTTTGCTACTCATCTCGGATCGGCCGTGGAGATTGATGGCACGATGGTGACTCTGAGCGACATACGTCCGCTCCTACATATCGCGAGAATTTTCGGATGCGGCCTCTACGTGGTCGGCGAAGACGACATCGTGACGATGAAGTACAGCGCCTTTTACACGGCCTTCTTCACGCTGCTGTATGGGACCGTTTGCGTGACGAACTTTTACGCGCTCACGAAGGAGGACGCGCTGGGTCCGCGGCTGTTGGCGCTCACCGTTGCGAGAACGGGCCTCTCGTACACTTGCGTCTTCGTCGACATCGCGTTGACCTCCTGGTACGAATGGAAGGTACGAGCCGCGCTCTCGCAGTTACGCGTCTTCGATCGAGCTACGAAGTACAAGGAGCACGCGAAAACCTACACGGTACGCTACATCAGTTGGATCTTGTCGTTCGTTATTATGGCGTTTTGGTCGACAGCCGGATACTTGACGTTTCGGTGAGCATCGATGTTTCCCAAGTAAGCTTTTAAGATTATTACAGCGAAGGACGGAAACAATGGTTAACGATCTTTGCGGGATTTTGCACGATTGTAAGATAGACGCTTCGATTGTAATCTCCTTTTAACGAATGCGCAATATCTCGTACCTGAGCGAGTTCGGGAATTATTATCTAAAACGGGTTCCCAGATCTCCCGTCTTTTATTACGGTCAGCAGTTTTACCGCCAGCATGAAGAGAAGCGCATTTTCCTATTGTTTGCTTCTTTCCTATTACTTTTTGCATTCTCATGTACTCTTGAAACTCCCCGAAATGTCTCGAAACTTTCAACACGGGGTCAAGGCTGGAAGATATTAAAATTTTCCAAGAACCTCTTACGTACTTCAAAGAGGAAGTTTTCGATTTCATTATCGTCCACGTAATAAAGGAGAAGTAAATTTTATCGCAAAAGCTTTACGTCGTAAAGATTATTATAAACACAGTAGTTCGATTAATGAGACAATAATGAGAACGATAGTATTGTTTCTCCTGAAGCTTGTCTCTTCGTCTTGTCTTCTCGTCTCTCTCCTGATACAGGAGGTAATAGTGACGCAAATATAATGATTCATTTCTTCCGAGTATTAGCTAAAACTTTGCTTATCAACTGCACAAACTAAAAAATTTATAAATAAATTGGAATTTTGTTTAATTTAAATTTTCCGAGAACATATCAATTTTGTTATCTTGCTCACATATGTGGGTAAGATGACGAAGATTAAAAATAAAATTTGTTATCCGTGCAAAAAATAATTTTCATAAACTTTTCATATTATTTTGTTGTTATATAATATCTGCACAATAGAATAAAATATAAATAAAATGAAATACAAGTAAAAATATTATTTATGAACAGAAAGTATAATTTGTGACAATGTAACTTGGAGGAAATAAGATCTAGACAAGAATAAAAATAGAAAAATTTATAATTAGATAATTTTAAATTAAATGTACTAATATGTGCATCATTCTATTCGTACATGATAAATTCATATGTAATATATCATCTTACTCTATATTCACTTCGTTTATTTCTTCAATTAAAAGAATAATGTTGCAATATGAGAAATGAAATATAATAATATGTTATTATATGTGTTTTTAGATATACTATATAATAATTTTATAGAGAAAGTGAATTATTTACTATAATTGTGAAGTGAAATATTTACTATAATTGTGTGATTCTTTAAAAAGAAATACCACAAAATTATATATTTTGTCCGTTGCAGTTGTGAGCCTAAAGATCCACTATTCAACGGCCTGACTTATGCATTTATCAACACAACGCTGTCGATGCAGTTATTGAGATTCATCAGCCTATCGTTTCTTCTGCGCGAGAGATTTCGCCGACTTTGTGAAATATTGTTGCTGCCCGAAGGTGAGTCAATTGCAAAAAGAGACGCATTTCTTGCGCTTCGTAGTAGTTCGTGCGTCAATGATTGATTTATTCATAGCCACTGATTTATCGATGAGCATCCTCTTAGGTAGCCAATCTGCATCCTTGGGATTATTTAGGAAATTACGAAACATAAAATTACAAAATTTAAAAGATTTACTCACAAAACCGGGGTATATATCTTTATCAATTTTTCGTGCCTGTCGTTCGTGAAGAATTTGAAAATGTAGAATTACCGTTCTTTTCAAACCGACAAAAAGCTTCGATCGCTCTTGCGAGATTATCCCTTTTCGCTCTTTGAGTGAATAGTCGACCGCATGTTATCACCGACATTTACTCTCCGTTCCGTGTACCGACACATGCGCTTTCCCACGCGGCTTGCCCGATGAAGGCAGGATAACCATGAGGATCGTAGCCCTGAAATAAGTAAATAAATGCCATTGACCTATCACATTCTAATTGTGTGTGACTAAATTTTTCGACAAGCCGAATTTAAGGAACACTTCACGTTCAAGTGTTGGCTCGCTCGTTCCATTTGCACTTTTAACATAAACGAAGCTCGCGAAATTCAAAAAGTAAATTAAGATTCTCCTTGTTAAACTACGAAAATGTTTAAAAGAACACACAACATAAAAAAAAATTACATAAAAAATGTAACATACACGAATTACATTTATTATTATTCCTCTGAATGATAAAAATGTAACAATTACCGCAACTCACTCGCATCAACGTTCTGAAATCCACTGGAATACAAATGCATTTTTACGTCGAGTTCGGAGAAGTGCTGTCACGCTCGTGGCATTCCTCGCTCATCCCATAAGGAACGCGATTCTCTGAGCTCGAAAGGTTAAGGGTAACCCGAGGGTAATCGTCTGGCTCATGCGTTATCGCATGTTTAAAGTAGACGGTAAAATCATGGTGGTGGATCGATCGGCCAGGCAGCTGCGCTTGCAGGAGGTATGGTGGCTGCATTCGTGTCTCGCCAACGCCACGGAGCTGATAAACTCCGTGTACGGGGTGCAGCTACTGTTATGGATCGCTGGCGGATCCTTCAACACCCTGACGCGCATCTACACGATAAACGAGCACACCTCGTTGTCAACCTTTCTGATCGCTAGAGAGACAATGATGGTGTCAGCTTGCGCGACGAATCTTCTACTCATCACCACTGTCTGTCACTCGATCGCCGGGCAGGTAGGTGATAGCTGATGCATCATCTCATGAGAGAAAGCTGTCCCAGCCACCATACATGATTGATCATTCTCACTTTCTGTCGAAGGCTAACCATGTCGGAAAGATCGCCTTCTCGCCGTCCTCGGCCATTGTCGCTAAACGCAATTTCGCACAGGTAAAGTAAAAAGTTCCAACAGAGCTGGTTTCGTGTGTCGATTTTGCTCGTCCTTCGTATTCTAATTTCAACATATCTCTCTAATTTCCCCGCTTTCTCTTTCTCTCTTTCCCTCTCTTTCATTCACACCTCTTCCAACTTGGCATCGCAACACGCAACGTTAATTTAATTAAAATTTCAAGTTATCGCAGTACTGTTCAGCGACCAAAGGATTAATTACAAAACCGCAGCAATCAGCGGGGAACTGTACGGCTAATAATTTATCTATCGACCCATTAAAACCCCCACTTAATTGGATTTGAAATCGATTGAATTGAATCAACAGCTATCGCCGATTCTCGCTGGTGATGCTGACGTTTGATTTCTTTTCTTTTCTTTTTCGCTTTTTAAGTATTTAATCGACTAAGTAAAACGGCCGACTGACGTAATTAACCGCGGCAATATTGTTGTACCACCTCTTGTACGTTGTTATCCCTATCTCGTTGTCGCGTAATCAAACGTTACTTTCGCCGAAGGGCTAATTACATCGAGCTCCTTTGCTGTTTCCACATCTCTCGACTGTGCGATTCTAATCCGGGAAAAGTGCCACTCTGAAGCTTATATAACGTTCGCTCATTTGCCATCAAGTCTACACAAATATTTACAGAGCCTGTCATTTACATTGCATCATATATACGTCTTTGAATAATCATCAAAATGGAAGAATCTAAAATAATACACGATGATGGAGCGATTTGTTTTCGACGTTTTGTGAAAAAGTTCAGTTAATCAATCATTAAGCGATCCTTAAACAATTACAGGACTATGGTGTGGACGCTGCAACATATTTTCAGCTGCACAAGGTGCACTTTTTCGCCGCTTTCGGGCTTATACTCATCGATCTTCCTTTGCTCCTCTCGGTGAGTTCCGAGAAGAATAGTGAGAGAATCGATCTTTCCGCCGAAATACCAGAGATATTTATGTGACGTAAAGATAGGGAACGGTTATGTTGCAAGAACACCTAAGAATGTCTCGAGAGCAATCTATATTATTTCAATCTTGACAAGGGACGCGCGCCAGGGCGCCGCCGTTGTTTTGAAACGAGAGAACCTATTATTCACTCGAGCGGTCTTATTGCAAAATACCGGAACTTGTTATCACCGCTCAAGTAACAGTCTGGACTTCCGACGTACTTACTTACTTTATAATTCTCTTCGTTATCTTATTGAAGAGTGTATTCAAACAACCCTATTACCCCGATTTTATCAATTACAGTGTACAATTTCATCACATAAAGTTTCACCTTCTGAAATCTTCTCAAGCATCAAAATTTCTATTCAGAAATAATCATTTCCAAAAATTGTCGCTCCAGCCCGAGTAGAAATTTGGATCTTATGTTAAACATTTAACTCCGCGATACAATAAGAACTAAAGTAACAAAATTCAATTTCAATTCCAGTAACAATTTACTCTTACTTTGGCCCTCACGATGTCTCAAGTTTTCGTTTCCGTTGCTTTAGCGGTGAAAATAGGTTGTTCAAAATTTAAGTTTAAAATTGGTTTAAAATAGCATTAAAATGAAGTCTGTCGAATTAAAGGTCCAAAAAAAAGTTAGTAAATGTCAATATCATCAAAGTGAGTTATTCAAGTAGGTGTAAATTATCTTTAAGAGTGTCAGAGTAGCATCAAAATTGCGACTCGGGTCTCGTAACTTCGTTTCTTCGCGCTTTTCGCAGATAACTTCCGGCATCACCACATACTTGGTGATCCTTCACACCGCCAACAGCTAATGTAATCTCCGTGAACGGCGCGCCGCTGCGCCTCTGCGATTGATCGCACGTTCGTTTGATCGATCGATTGGTCCTCCCGCTAATTCCACCCTCATCTTTCCTCACTGCTTTGTGGATCGACGCGCGTTGAAAAGGAAAAGGCGCCCACGGTCCGTCGCTCGTGTGAGATAGGTAAAGAGCTGTGTACGTTATCGTTTGGTTGTCTCGATTAATCTTTGACACCAAACGCTGCAGATACGCCGGAAGGAACGAGAAGAGCGTCTGTAACAGAATACGCATAAAATTCGGTCGGCTTTTTACGAGAATGCGCGGCAACACGAGCCTCGAGCTAGTTGTAGTGGCCCTCGATCGAAAATGAACGGTGGATGGCGAATGAAAATAGTCGAAGGGAAAAAAAGAGGAGAAAACGTCGACGTTGTTGCTGCGAATTGCCGCGAACAATGACGGTAATCGCGGCACATTCTACCGCGTTTGCACCGGAAAGCTCCTCCTCAATCGGTCGGACTCGGCGAATTTCGAGCTCACACAGGTGGATAATTGTGAGATACGAGGGGAGAGTGTGCGGGTATTCGTGGGAAAACTTAGGAATTCTTGAGAAACTCGGGGAGAACCCCGTAAAATGTGGGACAGCAAGGCGAGAGAGCGTACTTTGAGCAGGAGATAAGACGAAGATTTGCATACGTTCTTTGCTCTTAGCGAGCGCGGCGTCGACGCCGTTAAGAGAGCTGGAAGATTGGGAGAGACATTCGATTTATTTGGAGGAAAGAAGGATTCGCGCACCCTCGGCAATCAATCTCACTGACAGCCGGCGTAATACCGGTGTGCGTTGAACAGAGGGAAGTCCGGGCGGGAAGTTCCGATTGTCACTTAAGATTACGACGCGGACGCTCGGGACGGTGAATCGGCGCGTTCGAAAATTCAATTCGACGAATTCCGTGACGGTACGTCTTCCGCGCGTACGATGCGTGCTGGCGTTTTCATGAAGGATTATAAATTCAAACACGGTAGAGCCACGATGCCAGAAAGGGTGTCTGTATTATGAAATGATGTCGGGGACTTTTATTTTGGAACGCGAGCACATAGACCGAAAGCGGAGGATTCGAGCGGCTCACGTTCCCGATAAAACGGCATTTAATCTTGGAGTGGTTATGCGCCTAAATGCAACACAAATCGTCGCATGGATGACGAGTATCCTCCATTTTAAATCGACATTCTCAATAAAGCAAAATAACTTGAGAAAATGATAATAAAAAGTAATTTAAACGTAACAAATTTATTTACACGGAAATAACAATCATAAAAGATCTTATTGTAAACTGACAAGTACAGTTCTTAACTGACAAATATTCGGAAATCTAAGATAAATGCTTGTTAGTATTTTTCGAAAATTACATTTCAGCGCGCATGGATGATGCCTGTTATTCGCGCGACCATTGTACACAGAAAAAATTTCTTTAACTGAAACGAAATTGTCTTTTAAATTAAGCAAACAAGCGAATGTTTGATTCAATAAAACGGATTGTTTGGTTTCTCAAACAATAAATATCTTGTTAAATGACATATTTCTTTTATATTTTCATCCGAATTATATTAATTATTACAATAATTGTTTCAAGCAATAAACTATTTAAGAAATGATGTTAGAAGAATATTAAAGAATTTCTTTGTTTCAGTAGAACAATATTTAGTATATAATGAAATAAATTTTTTTTTTATTGAAAACCAAATATTATTTTTTCTAAATAATATTGTTTTTATATTAAACAACACAGTTTACTCTAGTAAAACATTTTCATTCAAACAAAATAATATATGATAATAAATTATGTTGTATATTAAACAAACAAATCCAAGTCAAACACAAATTCAAAGAAACTTTTCTCTCTGTGTAGAGTTAATGTTTCCGAAATCTTCGTTTTCCGCTAACGCACATCGTATCTAATCGGATGTCTAATCGGCGAACAAACGGATCAAATCGGTCGGATGTTAATTCTGCGAGAACCCACGCTTCTTTCGGTAACAGATAACGATATTTGACCGTTGATTTGCTGGATTCAATATTTAGCCGTGGTCAACAATATATTCAACACTTCCGCATTCCCCGACGCGCAAATCCTGTTCGGAAGCCCCGCCGAGTCCGTAATTTTCCTATTGTTAGTTCTCTCTGTCGGAAATTTTTCGCTGGTAAACCGCGGCGAGAACGTCCTATTATTCTTGCAAAAATCCTGCTTTCTCTGTCTCTCTCATTCTGTTTCTCTCTCTTTTGAGCTTACCTCAACTTCGCATGTCGTGTGTAAACTGACTATTGAGTTTCGCTGCGCCGATTCAATATTATATGTACTTGCGTCTCACGCGGAACTTATGACTGAGAAAGTTCCGGCCTAAGTTCTCCTTTGCTGATGTTAATTACGCCAGGAAAATTCAAGAAAAAAAACTTATAGATGCTGCGAAATTTTTATTTCGCGACTAGAGCGACCAATTCGCGATTTATTCCATCGTGAGTAGTTAGTGAGTAGTTCCATAGTTCGCGTTAATTTAACGAAAGAGAGAGAGAGAGAGAGAGAGAGAGAGAGAAATTGAGTCGGATGGATTCGCTGGATTTATTTAAATTCTCTGTTATTTTAATATTTAATTACGTAGGCATCGATGAGGTTTCCGAAGCGTCTGCGGTACGGCGACGGCGAGCATCGTTTTGGCGTACACCGAAACCCGACGCGCGCCCGATTCCCATTTGGAGTCCGGCGTGTGCGGAGGCGGATGAACGGGGGGATGCAGGACGCAAGCGCGCGCTGAGATCCGTCAACGTGCGCGCGAGCGGGGTTCACGTCGCCTTTAAGACCGGTGGCGGCGGGAGCCGCGATTCTTCCCATCAGTTTGCCGTAGACCCGCATCCGCAACTTTTCGCCCGCAAGTACCCTGGTTACCGTATATCGTTGGAATACCTTTTCTCTCTTTCTCTGTCTCGTATCCTCGCGGACAAGTCGCGGTCGAGCAATACGCCACCGAAAAGTATGCACATCGCGAGCCGATCGATAAAAAAGTTACGAACACGTGGGTAATGGAGATCGTCGCCAGGTGATTGTGAAGGTTGATGTCGACTCGATTGTCGGCGGTTTGGTGATGTCATAGCGCATCTACGTGTTTACCTTGCTGCGAGGGATGCAACGGATTGTGATTGGCGAACTGTGATGAACTGCGGGAATTTATCTCGCCCGATTGCACCGGTGATCCAATTGATTTTGTTTCCGTGTAGGCGGTGGCGCAAGGACTCGACAGCGGAATAATTTCGGTGAGTTCCGAGCTTCGATTACCCGTGCACCCGTGAATCTGATTTCTCCTACCCTCTCTGTTTTGCATCTTTTTTCTTTTTTTCTATTTGTGTCCGTTGTGCACGATGAAAACACGGCAAGTGGCACATGCCAGTCAAGTAGCATCGAAAGACCGCGCGACTCGTCGGGACTTTTTGTGATCTGCGAGTCCACATTAATTAGCGCAGTTTCGATTGTCACGATAATGTAACTTTCGGCGAAACGTCAACGATAACAATTGACAAGGGTTTTAATCCCCGGGTATGGAAGTATTAATCGGGATTTACCGGGGCTGTTATTATTTTTTTTATTTCGCCAATCCGGATTATATCGAGATAAAATGGAGGTTCACGCTGATATAACTTATCACGTCGTGTCGGTTTTCGATAACTCTAAAAATATCACGCAGTGTCGAAGAGAGAAGGAGAGAGAGAGAGAGAGAGAGAGAGAGAAATCGCGTTACATATAAAAAAACACGTAATGAAATCTGAACGCAGTTCCTCATTGATATTCAGTCGAATACGTATTTTTTTTTTTATAGGAAGTAGTCATTCATCCTGCTATTTTCAACAGTCCCTACGGATCTCCTCGAGAGAAAAATTTGTTCGCAACAAAGCGGAAAGTGTCAGCTATAACCGGCGATTATTAATATTCGTGTGCTGAGAGAAAAATATAGTTATTTTCGGGGACAACAATATCCTTTTTTTTATTTTAACCACAAAAACTAGTTGTAGCAACATGCACGTAAGGTTATTGTTATTAACACTGTAGTAACACTTATTAGAAAAATAGTTCTCTCGACTATTTTTGTGGTTGAAAATGAAAAGAAGGATATTGTTGTCCCGGAAGAGAACTATATTTTTCCTACAGTGCATACATTCATATTCATACGAATATTCGGCGATCTATTTCCAATTCGCGACGAATTATCCTTCCTCCGACTCGTGAACCTCAAGTTCCTTTTGCATAATTAATTTCGGCGTCCCTAAATCGACGCCGCGCTAATGTCGATTAATGTCGATCGGAGCCGGCCGTGAAGAGCCCGAACAAAGACGGAACTAAGTACGCACGCGATGGACACCTTTGCGACCAGCATGTGGCCGCGAAATATAGGCCGATCTTCGACGGGTACACCTGGTCTTTCGCTTATTAATCCGCTTATTAAATCAACGAGGCTGATCCGCAAAGGAGGAGCGCTTTTTTTCCGCCGCTCGCGATGAGTACACTGACTTGCGCGATGTTTTAGCAATGACGGGATCAGCACGATTCGTCCTCGCCCGAGATATTATTATCACTGGCCGCGACAAATGTTTACGGCTGTTCAATATTCGTTCACGCGTTCGAACGTCGTCTCTCCTCGTAATCTTATTAACGTCTCACTGATGACTGCAACGGTGAGGGTGACGCGAGAAGTATGCATGTCACGCGTTTACAAGCCGCGTACGCGAGCTATACACGAGCGAGTGATTTGATCGCGATCGTATTCACGCTATCCTATTATATCGTCAACGCTCGGCTTTCACAATAGCGTCACCGGAGTCAATCTCGCGCGATCATCGCGGGATTTTATTCCGGAAGAATCCGCTTTAAGATTTATCGAACGCGAGAGGCGTCAGTCGGACACCGTCTTGACGCACCTTGATAGGAGCACTCTTGATAGGAACGAACGAAGGAAAACTAGAATCCGCTTTTCGATTGCAAGTAAGACTGATCTCATTCTCGGCTCTCGTCGTTATTCCCTCTGAAGCGTCGTCCGCTCCTTTCTCTCTCTCTCTCTCTCTCTCTCTCTTTCTCTCTCTCTCTCTTTTTCTTTCTCTCTCTTATTTCACAAAGAGACGAGTGCTCGCACGCGCGCTCGCAGCTGAAATTCGCGAATTCATACGTGTATACACACGCCCGCATAGTTCACATTCGACATATTTCGTGTTTCACGGAAAGTCGAGCTTTCCCGCGCGCTCGTATCCGCTTACGTGTCACGGTATCAGTAGAGCTTAATTGGACCGCGACGAAAACGTCTCTTTGCTTCTCTCGCCGAGGAGTCGAGAAAGACGAGACATGTTTATTATCCACTAATTATAGCTCGCAGCCAACCGCAGGATCCAAGCGATAGCTTTGTAATCTCACCCGTGCCATGCGCGCATGTGCCTTCTCTGGCGCGTGATCGCCGCGCTTTTCATCCGAGGACAACGACGATGGCATCGGCATAATGCGGCCGAAAAGCAAACGACGTGACTTAACGATCCGATGCGAAAGCACACTCGCGCGCGGCCAATGCTAATATTCGCGAGTTCGGATTTGCGCGCTCCTCTACGAACTCACGTCGATTCTGAAACTCGAACATTTCATTTGCGACGGTCTCTCTGTCGGTTCGGTGAAAGCGGAACGCGTCCTCTCCTTCCCCCCCCCCCTCTCTCTCTTTCTCTCTTTTTCTCTTCCCTTCTCTTTTTCTTCTTCTTCGTCCCGATACGGTATAAAAAATTGAACACGTTAAATTTATTCCCTGCTTCAAGCGTCGGTAAGAGCACCGCTCGTGAGGGAACACGCTTTCGCGTTTTTCCGCACAATTGAGTTACATCAGGCAAGGCTGAAAAGACGAGGTAACGGAGGAAGCGGGGACCGTTTCGTGCGCGACTCTTTTCTGCGACTTTTTCCTCAAGCTCTTCCGCTGTTTGTGCTCCCGGCCGGACCAGTCGAGCACACCAAGCGGCTATACAATCGTAGCCGCATTTTCTGAGCATTTTCGTTCTTGATTCAAGACTTGGTTCAAGGATAAGATACATTTCGTATGTTCGACGGAGGTTCTTTCCGCTCACGTAGCCGAGCGGTGAGATACGTAAGCCAAGGCTGAGTCCCTTCCTCTGGGTCTGAACGGACCGTTCAGAATGGATTCCGCGACAATGAAGATGGGTGCGAACGACGTCGCGTCAATGACCGCGTCGACGGCGGCCGCGACGTCGCCGAAGATTGAGTTAGCCTATGACAACGACTCGTTCTCGTCGATCTCCTACAATGGCAGCATTGAACTGGATCCGTGGGATCTCTACAACAAGTTAAACGGGGAGGCCAATTACCTGCTGATCATCCTCTACGTGCCGGTAATCGCGATCGCCGTCACGGCCAACATACTTGTGATCGCGGTGGTCTTCAAGTACCATTACATGAGAAGGTACGTATACCGACGAGAGAAGATTGGTTGAAGCGACGAATCGAGTTGAACCCGTGTTGAAATTTTGATCTTACTCTCGACCTGAAAATTCCATTTAACGCCTACTTTGACACTCCGAAGCCTATGGGTGCCTTCCAACAAGGAACACGAGCGACAATGTCGACACAAGTGCTTTCCTACAACGACACAATAGAACACAAATCGACACGGCTGTAGAGCAGAGTCGAACATTAACGTTAGTATCATTGCTGCCAACTTTTTAGTAATTTTTATGTAATTTCTGTATTTGTAGCATTAAATATATATACTGAAAAATTGTTTTCTTTCTTGTGACTATTCTTGTTGTTTCGAGAGTTTTTTTATTACGATATTCATTGTAATAAGACATAAGTTTAGAGTGAATATGTTAACATTGTAATACCAAAATAGTAGTTAATGTTTTTAAAAATTCATGTTTTGCAAGCAACTTATAATTTTGATTGACAGCAATATAAATCTTAAGTGATCTTAATCTTTAGTAATGTATCTCATTGTATATATAAAGATTACAACACACACAATAATATCAGTTACAATTCCGATATAGCCCAGCATTACGAAATTTTTTAATCATTTTTCTTATAATATTTTTTCTGTGCACTTGAAGAATTAATGTAGAATTTAAAATCTCAACTCGAGTTCGACTTGGGTCAAGTTTTCTTATAAATTAAATTACATTCATTTTCCAGAACTTATAGATGTTAGAAAATTCGAGTCGAAAGTAGGTCTAAAATTTTGACTAGGAAATAGACTCAGTTTCAGGTTCCATCAAAAGGTCGTGTATGATGAATTGACCGCTCTCATCTTTTCAGCGAGATTTTCGCGTTCTTGTAATCTGTCGTTTCGTGTAAGGTTAGTTCAACGAGGCGATCATAAAGCTCGATTTGGCTTCCAGGTTGGTGCCGCGTGTTTCGCGGATTTGTTTCCACAAACCACTGGCATCAAGCCGGAACTAAATCGAACAGCATCAATCTGGAAACCGAATCAAACATTTCTCCACACCGCGAAAGCCTCAAGTATCGGGTCATAAAGCCCGATACAATATTGCTTGTATTTATTGTTTGATTTATATTGCCAGAGATAAAATTACTCGAATTGTGCGATCGGACTAACCTTTTGATAGATGAAAGAACATATCTATATCGCACATGTAATTAAATTTCAGTTTTATTAACCTTTTATTATTGCTGAAATTTTGTAGTTTAAATTCCTGCGTTGGGTTATCAATTTGGCTCGACTTTCCTTCAATTTGACTCTATTTGTGCGACGAAATTTGCGTAATCCTGAAATTGAGTTCTTTTCACCCGAATTATCGTTAACACGTGTCGCTTAATCGCGATGCCTGTGTGTGATCTATGAATTGTGTTTGTCGTCTCGAAATAACTTACTTGGTGCTTCCTTATCCCCTGAGCAATTAAGCGTGGAATGTAGTAATTAGAAGTCGCCCAACGTCAGATGTTAGTAATAATTAATTATGAATATCGTCCGCTGTTCTCTCGCGCCGATATAATTTCCAGGCGAGTGCGTGATACGATTAATCAAGCGTGACATTTGCGTGCGCATATTGCGCGTTATTATGATAACGTTCTGGCAGGCACGCGACCAGGGTTTGCGATATTTCGAACGTTATTTGGTGATACCGACTCCATTGCAGCCCGCGCGCACGAGACAATAATTCGAAACTTGCAGACGGCCCGATATCTCGTCGACTACCGGAAATTCGCTAAAGAATTCCGGTAACGCGAACGCTTCGAGTTATCCGGGAGAGACACCCGGTTGAACACTCAGTTACATAGATTCACGACGTTCAAGTTAGGCAAGATTTATTCTCCAACTTCGTTACAGTCGAGAATTATGGAAAAGATGCAAAGACAGAGAGAGGAAATATACAGGGTGAAGCAATATAGTTGTTACCATCTTGGATAACCTTTGAAGTGTGAGAGTAAGAGGAAAATTTAAAAGAAAAATCGAATAGAAAAATTACATCGACGATACCAATGGTGGTCACTTCATAGCACCTACAAACGTCTTCATCTAACCATTAATAAAATATTTTTATTTTTCAAAGATATTCTCAAAAGATAGTGATAGTCATCGTCGCATCCTATATATATTCGGTCGCCTCGAAACATTTTCTTATTCTTATCCTTCCGAAGTAACTCAATTTGCCGAATTACGTCAAGAAAGCAACTCCGTCAATGAGTCCTTAATTATTTGCGAAACGTGCGCCGTCAACCTTGTCAAAGATGTCATTATACGAAGATGATGAAACACCAACGTCGTAGTTTCTGTTCATTAACGCAGTATTTGAAAAATATAAGAGATTGCGCGCGCGCGAGAGAGAGAGAAAGAGTAAATTGCAATTTCCAAGATAATGGATAAATACCGGAGATATACAAACTACCCATAGAGACAACAGAGATGCATTCGAAAACACATAGTCGCGGTTCGGGATCGGAAACGCTCGAAGCGTAGGGGAATTCCAGATGCACTAGACGTCTCCCGCAACGTTTTGGCCTTTTCTCAGTACGCGTAGTTTCGTGTGCACGAGACACTTGTTTACGGTACGTGTTCACGTACAAAACGGAAAGGAAAAGCAATGGCTACGGCCGGGCAATAAAATTGCGATGCTGAATAAAGCATGCATTTCGCCGTCGTGTAGCGTCATGTTGTATATTGCACATATCTCGGGTGAGATACGATTCGGCATCCGACGCATAGAGTCGCTCGGTATTCGAGCCAAAATTCGCGACGAATCCACTGCAACGATCTCGAGCATTGAAGTATAATCATTAAAAATTGTCATAGTTCGTGCGTTTCTTAAGAGATAGGAAGAAAGAGAGAGAGTGAGAGGGAGACGGAAGTTCTGTGAGAATTCCCTGGAGATATCGCAATTGTTCGCGAAGTATTCCACTTAAAAACTTATTACTTCATGAGAAGAGAATCGCGAACGATCGCTCTTCTTTTTTCTTTTAATTCACCAAATTGTTCATGATATGAATATAAAAGTGAGTTAATAAGAACCATATGCTGGTTTTGTGCGAAAATAATATCTAATAGGAGAACGAAATTGTTAAATATTACGAGTACAAAACGATACACGTCAAAATATGACTGTACGTTTCGGTTCTGTATATATATTTCGGAGCATCTTCAACAAACAAACAGCCAGCATATGGTTTTTATCAGTCCGTTTTTATACGATATGTTTTGATCAAAGCTTTATACTATTTCGTTTATACTATTTTATTCACGAGGTTGTAGGAATTTTGTCCGTTTCCCAACACGACGATTTATGCCACGTGCAACATATTATGTCATGTAACAATTATATCGTACTCTAGTAAATCAATCTTCCCTTGTGAAATTGACTCTCCCGCTGATATAATTCCATATATCGTCCGTAACATCATCATTTTGTGCGGGACAAGGGCGCTCTTAATGAACCACTACAGAGTTATTGTGTAAACTTCAGTATGCTTAGAGACACGACTAAATCAGTGAATTCGGGATTTATGCTTCCTATCTTCTTCTTCTTCTCTCTCTCTCTCTCTCTCTCTCTCTCTCTCTTTCTCTCTCTCTCTTTTTCTCTCTCTTCCTTTTGTTGACAATCCTGACATAAGCCGGTATATCGATGAGTTTATTCAACGATGAAAAAATCACCACGATAAATCTATCGTACAAACACATTTTATGTGCATATCCGTACATATAATGTATACCGAAGCTTATCAAGAACCGTCGTAAATTTACGGCAATGCGTACGAGGGATAATAGAGTATTTTGCGCTGCTTACGAACGTTGTTGCATAATATATGTGCTCGGCCCATCATGTGCTCACCTTACGATGCTTCCTTGACAAAATATATTTATGGAATAATGCAAAATCGCATATTTTATATACTGCAAGGAGATTATTAAGCTGTTATTTTGCTTAAACCTTGGTTAAACATTTTCTTTATCTCGGTGCTTGCTTGCAGAAAATCTGCTCATTTTTCTACTTTTTATGAATCGATTAATATTCTAACCAACCAACCCTGATAAAAATTGTTTGTAGTTTTTGAGCAGTTATTGGACAATTATTAATTTTTGTCTAGTAACTAAGAAGTTGAACTTTGGGATCTTAATCAAGATGTAACTTTTTCTGCAATTATTGCGCACGAAAGATGCGCAAAATTTCAACCCATTTACTGAACGAAAACATAACAATAAATGAACAATAAACTATTCAATTGATTAACAAGCTTGCTACTCATGAAATGGGCACTTTTACTCTAGAAGTTCATTTGAATAAAGCTCTATCAAGTTTTTGTACATTTCGCGCATTCTACGCAGTATTGTTACAACTAATAAGAATGCATTAATATCAGACAATAACTGGATCAATGTCCAGGAAAACTGCATACATTTCTATCAGAATTTTTCGTGTAATATAACATTACGTTTTTCGTTTTTATGTTTAATTTAATGCTAATTGCACGAAAAATTATAAGTTATAACTGAGAATAAAATAAAATCGGAATATCTTGACAGTTCCCGAATCTTCATCTAACGTTAACAAGTGGAAACTTCATTTGACGTTAACAAGTGGAAACTTCATTTGACATTAACAAGTGAAGATATCAGGGGAGTTACAAAAGCTGACCTTTTAGCTTGATTATCTTGGCAAGTGCATAGAGTAACATCTCACAGCGAGTTGTAATAAGAAGTACGATACAACTCTGAAGTCCTGGTTAACTAGTACGAACATGTGTATACGATTATCATGTTTACCCACGTGGAAACTACGAGAGAGGAGCGGGATTCTACGTGACAAAAATATAGACGCAACTGGGCGAATACATTTATACGAGATTACTTTAATGGAAGCACGCACGGATAGGATTTTTCAGATAAAAGACTACGATGTGAAACCTGCGACTAGTATTCAAAAGATATCAAGCACAGTGAAATACTTAAAT